GTGTGTCGTATGGGCACAGTCAGCCAATGCTCGAACTGGGAAACGCTCGAAATTGTTCATGCACTGGTTCCTACCCACTTGGAACCATTCTTCTTTCTATATTTCTTCCTTCCCACTAGAGAAGAAGGAAAGTCTTGTTTTTAGTTAGGGGATGCGAGATTCCATTGGCTCAACTTAAGAGCAGCCGACCACGGCCCCGAGGACAATACCTCAGGCAAACTCTCCCTCTCTCTATTTCTTTTTTCACAGTAAAATGCACACTTGATTGGCAGCCTCCTCCGCCTGAAGGAGAAATGCCTGGTTGAAAGTATCGTCTGACAATAGCTGTAAGGCTGACCTCATGCGTTTTTGTTCCTTGGAGAATTCACTCAAGTGTTTTTCTCTTCCCTCTATGTGCGATGCCATTATTTGGCTACAATTCATCCCATTGCCACCCTTATTTCTTCTAAAATATTTCTCCCCCTTTTTTAGGACTAATGGTAGGTTTTCTGTTTTTCTCCTCAAAATAAATTGAATTCTCTTTTACGGTAGCGCTCTCCAAAATAAGCCGAGTAAGTAACACACAGTATTTTCTGAGATTTAATGATGTATGTTTTAGCTCTACTCGCTTATTAAGTTTCTTAATTTCTTCTTCCCCATCTTCTCCCTATAGCGAGAACGTTCACTCATCTAAAAATACCAGAAGGAGAAACTACATGTGAAGTGCAATTATGGGCGTGTGAGTTGAGCGGGTACGGCAGCCGGGGGCCGCGGCGGGCTGAGAGCGGCCGCTGGCTGGTTTCTGTGGCTGGGCCCGAGACACACTGTGCTGGTGGCATCGCTTAGCGTGAAGTGGAGCTCAGACCGAAAAACAATGCAATAAACGGAGCAGACAAGGTTTTGGGCCAAACACGTATACTTGTACATTCAGATTTTTCCTATTTCATTTTGTGTTTATGGGATCAATGGCTTTAATAATAGTAATAATAGTTCGGGCAAACTCTGCTTCTGCCAGCGCACTTCTGGTAATTGATACATTTATATACACAAAGGAAATTCGCCGCTTTATGTATTCATACCACACCTTTGGCCTCTGTGTTGCTGTTTACTCATTAGTTTACCTCAGTCAGTATCAGTCCCTCTGTATGGTTGCGCGGTGAGTTTTTAAGTGTGAATTTCTCTTGAGGAGACACACAAATGTTCCATGAACACTGTTTTTATTAGCAGATGTTAATGACAGAGCAGTTTCTTTTTGTGGCCAGACTGACTGCAGATCACCCACCAAAGCTGTAAGATTGATGGATGAGAAGGCCCTCAGTGTCAGACAACTGGAAATCACTTTCTGTCTATGTGTGTGTGTGTGTGTGTGTGTATGCAAGTGGGTGGATGTGACTAACTGCCAGAAATAACCACAAGCTCTTCACCACGGCCGTCTGAGGACCAGGGAAGCCTCAGGGCAAGGATGGCTCATGGGAAAGCCCTTGATCCAAACTCCACAGACGGTTATCCCACACACCCTGTACCCAAAAGGAAGTGCATGTTTTTCTTTCCTTTTTAAAGCTTCCGAGGGTATTCTCAGTGAAAGTCCTTTGCTATGATTAAACGTTACCGAGGTGGAGCTGAAGTTGCAAAACGGCTGACAGATTCGTATGAGGCAACAACAGAGGCATATTTTTTAGTTCACAAGAACAAATCACTCACTTCAAAACATGACCGTCTGTGACAGCTCGCAGGACTATGTCATTATACTTAATAAGAGCCCGGATCCCTGACTAACGACTAACGGCACACGGCACGTGCTATATGGTGAATCCTGCAGTGTCACACTTACTATCATCCTCTGACTGTTAAGTCTCAGGCTCGCTGTGAATAATTGATGCTAAAGATTGCGACACCGAGAGCAGGAGAAACCCTAGAGGCCTTAGCGCGGAGTTCTGACCCCAGGAGCAGCCCGGCAACCAGACACCTCCTCATCACCTCTGACAGGGATATCCATTAGATCAGTGAGTGAGTGTGAGTGCAAGTATGTGTGTCCAAAGTTGGGTTTTTGGTCAACCAGGCTTCTTACACCTGACAGGTGACCAGCGCTCATGTTATCGCTGGTGCTTGGTCATGGTGTTTGTGCAGTTTGATCCTGCAGAGTTAAGATAGCGATAAGGTGTGTGACAGAGAGAAATCGATGGATAGTTAAGGGTGATTGGAATTGTATACCTAAGGGATACCTACAGGAATTTAATTAGCAATATTTTGTACATCAACATGAATTTTTGTGTATATATGTGTATATGTATGTATATTATTCCCCCTTGATCTAGATTAGCCGGTGCAACGAGTGGAATTAGTGGCACTTCTGTTGTAGCCGGCTGGTGCAAGAAGACCACAATTCAAAACTACTATGCCTGTTAAAAAAAAAGAAAAAAGTTAGCTAGAACATAATAAAATTACTGGTAAAAATGGTGCTGGAGAAAGCAGGTTCAAGGTCGAGGCCTGTTAAGATCATTTCCGATTCAAATAGCAACTTTTGTTGTCATTGTTTGTGATGAATGATTCAGGTTGTTCCCAGCCAAAGGTTGATGTTCATTGTGGCTTAATTACTTTGTTGAAAGTACATTTTTACAAAGCATTGTTTGTTCTGTGGGTGTCCTGCGCACATTTATTGGATACTGACTGTGTTCCATGAAATAAAGTAATGTAATATAAAATATTTTTAAAACTAAAGTATTTGGGGATTTGGGGCATGCAAGGTCCGTTAACTTGTGGTGCTGTAGGATAGAACTAACCCATTCATTTCCGTTTGTTTGGCCCACGGTATTTGTGATGGACAGTGTGTTTTCCTGCAGTTCAGAACCCTCCAGTGTCCTGGCCTTTTACCCAGCTGTCTATCTTGCATTTTGGTTGCATATGCTGACAGGGCCAGTTTTTGCAAATGCATTCATGTCTGCAAACCTGTGTTTGTGTGTGTGTCTGTGTGTGCGCACACATGCATGAAGCAGTGTCCCTGTGGACCTCTCTACATGGACTCTTACTCCCAGCCTTATCAATGTCAGAGGTCTGTGCCAGGCACTGCACGCCACCTTTTGCTTTGACAGACAGATCATTGGTGCTCCTTTAACCCCCGGGGTCAGGATTGGCACAACGCATGATGCCACCATAAAAAGAAACAGACCTCTGCCATCGCCACAGCATCTGTTTTGTATTGCAGTGCAGCATTAGTGGATGCGAAAAGGACCACCCTTCAGATTCGGAAAAGGGGGTAATGTTGTTGTGGTGGTGGAAGGTTGAATGCTTGCTACTATTCTTGTCGAAGATGGTGGTTGAAGCGATGTTTGTCGAGGGGAGGTTTTGAGGCACACGGATAAACCGAGGAAATACTGTGTGGGAAATTGGATCTTTCTGAAAACCGAAAATCAGAGGGAATGAGCCCCAGAGAAAGTGAGAAAATCTTAAGATTAAGAAGATAAAAATATGCCGTGGTCAAAGAGATTTTGCCACAACCAAAACAGACATTCTGTGCCTTTACTTTCCAATATGACTCAATTAATCGGGTATGTGGTCACTAGAAAGTACAATTGTACCCACCCTCAGGTACACTGTTCCCTGTACGAGTACAGCCATGACTAGCGTGGACTTACACTGTTCCAGTGAGATGATACAAGAGAGAGAGTTAACAGCTTTTCACTCAAGCTCTCAGTCAGAGGTGCAGGAAGCCCCCGACCCCAGGAGAGAGAGCAGGGCGAGTAACAGGATTTATTCTCTTTGTCCAGCGACACACTCGCCTCTCTTCCCCCTTAGCCTCACCCCGTGTTCCCCGCTGTCCAGCGCCACCAGCTCTAAATCCTTTTTTGATGGATTTCCCAGCAAGCGCTCTAGTGCCGGCGCCATACACACACACACACACACACACACACACACACACATTTCACATCTGCATTAATTGATTCTGACTGTAGCTGTCAACCAATAACTCGTAACGCCGTGTCTTGCTCTCTGAGCTGACAAACTGATTGATGGATGGTCGCTATTTAAACACACACCGCTATTGAGTAAAAGTCAAATTGCTCCAACAGTAATGGAACATATGAAAATATGGGTCTTTTCAATGTCCAACTTTCCTAAATGATCTTTGAAAACAAAATGTGACTTAATTCACCGTATAGTTGCTGATGTCCTGTTTTAACCTTGCCATTGAGAGCTTGTAATTATATATTTTTTACAGACCTTGCGTTTTTTTGCTATTGGCTTGCATTGTGATGCAGAGTATGAATGGGATGGATAAGAGACAGCACGAAGGGAAAAGACAGGACAGAGTGGCTGCAAATTTACTGGCTCCACCTCTTTTTTCTTGCAGTGTTGTTTTGTTGTGTTAACCATGACAACTCTCACCGTTCCTTCATCCAGCTTTAGGATTAGTCTGGGTGAGAGCTGAGGCGACAAGAGTAGTGGAGAAGTAGAGGGAATAGGGGTTTAGAAGAGGTGGATGACTGGAGGGAGCAAAGGAGCAGAAATGATTATTAGAGAAAAGAGCAGAATTGAATGTGAAGCCATCCTGAAACTACTTGAAAGATCACATTTATTTTGGCAAGTCATTACATTAACGTGGTTGAGAGGAAAAAACTCAACAACTACTGCTTTAACAGTTGTGACAACAGAAGGACAAAAGTATTTGTAATTATGGAATAATATTATGAATCATTTAGACCAGCCAGAAAGCCAATGTAGCTGCGCATTTATTTATATGAACATCTAGATCATATTATTCTTTATTTATTAAATATTTAAACTGACTATATATGTTTAATGCTAAGGGGTGATGAGTAGGTGTGAAACTGTTCTTGTATATCTTGACAGAACTTTAGCACTTTACTGTAAATTAACATATCCCAAAATATGTGTAGGCACAGAATTGATTGGGATTAAACTCTGTAGATTTCCTAATTGCAAAATATTCTCTCATTGGCTTCTGCTTTATTTCAACATCTGCATTATGTCAATCTTTACTGTCTTTTCCCCCTTTTCTACAGGAATGCTCCCTGTCTTCCTGCTAGCTGGGTTGATTCTGGCTCTGTCCATCCCTGGCACCACGTCGGAGTCGGCCACACTGCGCTTCCTGGGGCAGACGGACTTTGTTGTCAACGAGAGCAACACAGCTGTGATCCGGCTGGTTGTGGAGAGAGTGGGAGACCCGGTCAATGTGACGGCTTTGATTCTGGTAGGACACGGGGCAACTTTTTTTTTTATCTCGCTGTATCGCTGAGCTGTCCCCTTAATGTCCAGTGAAAGAGAGAATCAATGACCAGACCAGTAAGCTAAACCAGTGTGGGACAGAAACAGTTTGTATTTGAAATCACAGAGTGGATTTGTGCTTTACGTGCTTCTCGTGTGGGCTTGTGTCAGCTGCTCACAGTGGGGTTCTGTTAAGAAGAGCTGGACCCGATATTGATATTTTTTAAATATTTCCTCTTGCATATTACTATTAGTTTAAGTATTATATGTGTAATATCTGGCTTTCATGTAGGAAACTCAAAATCAAGCAGACGAAGGCCCCAGTAGAAGTGCAGGAATAGGGTTTCATAATAAATGAAAACACACTAAGGAGCCAGAAACTTTTATCTAAATGGAAAGTGATACAATTGAATGTTTGCTTGTTGTACCCAGCTAGAGGGAGTGAACACAGGGGACTTTGAATCTGTTAATGCGGCAGCATTCCTGCTGTCCACGGAGTCCAACAAGACCATCTTCATTGCTGTGAGAGATGATGACTTGCCTGAAGCCGATGAGACATTTACCTTCAACCTTATACTACAGGTACACGCCCATTGTATGTCTGTGTGTGCTTACTCTTTTTTGGGATGTCTCTTTCTTGACTGGCGATGACTCGTTCTCCTCTTGCTCCTGCACTACCTTATAGCTCCTCTTAAAGCCTAACACCGGCTACTAATGTACATTCAATTCTTAGCATATTGAGACTTCTTTTTGCTGGCATGACGCCGTAACCTGAGAAAGTGCAAAAAGCTATTTTAGTCCAGTTACTGTTTGAAAGGACAGATCGCTTTCAGTTTCTTCTTTTTTAGAATTGCGTTGTGCTTTTACTATTATATAACAGCCATGCACATTTTAAAGATTGGAAATGTTTTTTCAATGGGTATACAGTACAGAGAAAATCCTTATCAAAGCACTCATAGTCCGGGATGCCTTACACCTAGAGACGATCTCCATGGTTTCATTTAGGTTTTACCTGTCAAGTATGATTGATTGAGCTGGGGGAGCCTGGGCTTGCTGTCTTAATCCTTATTAAGAGACCCAAAAGAAAGCTCAATGTAAATCCCTTATGTCCGCTATGTACTCTTTTAAAACAGCAACAAGCATAAACAGCTGATAGCAAGTGACTTTCTCAATATTCCTCGATATTTTGAGAAATCGCTGCATTTTAGTGTCAGCTGGTTAAAATTCAGTAGTACAAGCCCATATTTAGCTGTCCACCAGAGTGAAAGACCAGATGAGGCCCACTTAGCCCTTCTGTTTACACTACACGGGAGACAAAGCTTTGGCCAAATACTACCCTATCAGCTTACTAAGGGACTGTCAGGAGGATGGATGGGCTCTACAAGGGGTGTCATAGATCAAGTCCAAGTCATAAATGAATGGTTGATCAGTGTACATTAATCTTTCTTACAATTATATCTTTAGAAGTATATTGTACTTACTTTTTTGAAAGTGATTATGACAGAACACAACATATATAGACGTATAGTTCTATAGAAACCGAGTGAGGTAGAATTGTCTCGGACCTTAGCAGGTGCAGCCTGTCAGTGCTGTGCAGGAACAGAAGCGAGAACCACACACTGGGTTGTAGCATCTTAGATCGAGGGAAGGCAGCGTTCATGTAGGGCTGCAAGGGTGGAACAAAACTGGCTTTTATGCAGTATATTTGCGTGTGCAGATCAGTAGGTATTTGAGTATAATTTTGTTGTTGGGCACAAATAAATGTGCGCGTATGTGTGTGATCTGCTCCCTGGCTCAGCTTTGTGAAAGCATGTGTATTCTGTGTCTGTGAGTTGACCAATACAAGAGCTCAGTTGCGCAAAGAAAGCCTTGTTACAGCTGGGAAAAGCCCTGTTTGAATAGAGTGATGAATGCAGAGGCCTAAGCACTTTCTTCATTTTCATTTTGTTCGTGGCCGGTTCTCACACCAAAATGTGTACACTCCTGCAAGCTGTTGTACTGAGTTATCAGTTGGATTCTATTTAGCTGAGAAATCGTTTTAGATGAGCAAATTATGTTTCTGTTTATCATACTATGTCAAGGCTCTTGCAGCTTATCCGCAATGCTTGCATATATACTAATTAATTTGCATGTTGCAAAAGGATTTTGGATGTTTATTTGAAAGCCTGTACACGATAGTTCTGACATGGTGATTGTGAAACCATAGGGAAGCTCACTAATGGAAGCCTTGGAATATTACGCTATTTAAGGCGTGGTCTTTCTCTTTAATGGTGTTCAGAAAGAGGAAAACGTTCCTTCCACGGATGATAGATAATGGTTCTTTCTGTTGAGATAAAAACTCACAGTATATGCTATGAGTTGCGGTGTTATTCTAAGCCGGGTGAGATCACTGAGTTTCACAGGTCTTAGTGCCGAGTCACAGAGCACAGCGCAAGTCCCGAGGAGGCGTCCTGCCGGGAGCTGCCCTGACAAATCAAACCACGACTTCCTGTCGCAGTGTCTTCTTATCAGGGCTTCTCAGTGGCGTAGAGAAATTAAGTGAAGACAATAGATCATTAGAACGCAGGTATCAGGCTAGTGGGGGGTTAAGATGTTTTCTGGTATATACTAAGTAGCCTGGTTTTATCTAATCCCCTCATTTGTCCCTGCTTTCCAGAGCTCCTCTAATGGCATTACACTGGGAAAACCAAATAAAGCAACCATCACCATCCTGTCCAATGACAATGCCTTTGGAATTGTTGGCTTCAACTCGGTAAGAAATCCCTGTCATCCTCATGTGTCTTGTATCCATTTGTTCAGTTTTGTCTCACCTCTTACAGTTCTCTGCATATGCATTTCAACTTCACATTTGCATGTATCCTTGATAAATGTATGGATCAGATATATGCCTGTGATTACCGATAATGTGAAGGTTTTGCTGTTGCGACACCAACCTGCACTTGCACCGTAATCCTGCACTTTGTGACCAATTACCATATTAATTAATAAGTAGTTGTAGAAAGTAAAGGTTTGGAGTTATTTGGCCCCACTATCGTTGAGAGTGGTTCAAGCATGCTATTATTGTGGTAGAAGTGACAATCTAGTGGTTTGTGGTTCCCAGAGGTAATTAAAACCACGACACTCACTTATTAGCCTCGAAGTTTTGTAGCGTTTCCATGGTTACTGTGGTATAACTTTGCCCTACCACCTCCAAACGGTCTTAGATGCTGATTTGGCTTGTTTGGAATCAATGAAGACCTGGCCTTGGCAGATGCGTTTTTGTTTGCCTACTAAATTAAATCCTTTATTACATTTATATGCTTTCTCATCTCCCCCATTTGCATTACGCTGGCATTGTAAGAAAACCCAAGTACCTCCAATAAAGCAGAATTTTAATGGGATATTTAATTCATGATGCCCTTAAATGTAGTTTTCCATTCGATATTATTTGTTTTTTATACTATGTAATAATCAGGATTGATATCAATTGTGTGGCAGATTATTTTAAATTAGGTTTTACACAAAAGCGAAAAAACTCCTTTCATACAATTCATTCATTCATTCATACAAGAACAAATCCCTTGTGCTTTTGTTTGTTATTGGAGAGATTTTTCTATGTCTCGGATTTTCATTCAGTATAATTGAGAAACTGTTGAAAATTATTGAACTGACAGGGTTTGTTTGTTTCACTGTCTCTAACCTTTCACCTCAGACTGAAGACATAGTAGTAGAGGAACCAAGAGGAAGAAACCACTATGTGCCTTTCACCCTAACTAGAGAAAAGGGAACATATGGAACTGTGAACGTAAACTTTGAGGTGAGAGGGCAATGAACTGTACACCAAAAAAAAACCAAGACAAAGAGCTTTATAGTATTTAAAAGGACCGTGTTAAAGATATGTTTATGACATATTGGCTTGTTTTGAGTGTGATCTTTGTAGTTCGCCCCAATGGCTAAACATCCACCATTGAATCCTGTGAAGTAGTTTGGAGAATTTAGACCATAGTGGCAACATATAACTGCATGGTAGCAAATATCCTGTAACCTGTAATGTTGATGTATACATCATTGTAACTTCTCCTGTTCAGATCTCTGAAGGTCCCAACCCTGCCATTGAGGACCTCAGTCCAGACAGAGGGAACATCACCATTCCTGTGGGACAGTCTGTTGTAAATTTTCGTATCCTCATCACGGATGACGAGGTATTGAACAAGCTTTGAAGTTGGTCCATATATTGTATGCAACAACATTTCACATACAAATGGATTTATAATGGATATGGATATAACTGGTGCCAGTCACTCCATTTTCCATGTATCCTCTTTACAGACTTTTTTTGGATTTAAAAGGAATATCCAAATCATCCAACGTTTTAAAAGGTCCACTTTTTTAAAGGGACAAACAGCTGCATGCAATTTACAATTGTATGTGAATCTGTTTCCTTTTCTTGGTTGGCCAGATCCCAGAGGATGATGAGGTGTTTTCCGTCAGGCTAACGGCCGTGGCAGGTGGAGCCCTCCTCAGGCCCAATGCCAGCAGTGTCCAGCTCAGAATTCGGCGTAATGACAGCCCACTGCGGTTCTCCCACTCGATCATGGCAGTACCAGAGTCCGCTGGAATCATTGCCCTTAATGTGACTCGTGGTCGGTTGACTGAAGACGGTCCACTCATCGGCTCTGTTGACACAGAGGTTACTTTCTTTCAATCCAGTTGTTTCTTCACCTAAGCTTTTGAGTGATAAGAATAGGGCACAACAACTTGAATTACATACATACAGTATATTACATACAATATGCAGTACCAGTCAAAGGTTTGGACACACTTTCTCATTCAATTGAAACTTTTGACTGGTACTGTGTTTATATGTGTGTTTTTATAGATGTAGAATATATTATTGCAGAACAATAAGCATAAATCCAATGTATATAAACCATCTGTATTATACTGTTTTTAGGTCTCTGTAGAATACATGGTGGTGAGCAGTCGAGGACAGGGCAGCGCCACACCAGCTGTGGATTTCCTCGACCTCCAGTCATCCAGAACTGTTATATTCCCTCCATTTGTGTACAAGACCAGCCTGTTTTTCAATATCAGTGACGACATCGTGCCAGAAATTGCAGAATCCTTCCACCTGATCTTGCTGGAGGAGAGTGTCAGAGGAGATGCTGTGCTAGTACCACCCAACGCCGTGCAAGTAACCATCGAGCCCAATGATAAGCCCAATGGTGTCCTGTCAATCAGCAGCAGCGCGGCCATTCAGCCAATAATCATCAATGAAGACCTGATACAGAGGTTAGATAACTTACAAATGTTTACTCTCCTGACAAATGTACTGCTATTACAATGGTACAATATGAGCGTCTTAATAAAAACTATTGTATATTTAACTGTGCTCAATCATTTGCCCAGATTTGAAGGAATCGTTATTGTAAGAAATGGAGGCAGCTATGGTGCCGTGTCCGCTAACTGGTCCATCAGTCGAAACTCCAGTGACCGCTCGCCAGTGTCGGATGATTTAAAGCCTGCAGAGGGGACGGTGAGATTTGCTGCTGGTCAGGTGACAGCTGTGATTCCCATCAACATTGTGGCAGACGATCTACCCGAAGAAGCAGAGGCCTTTGTATTCAAGCTCCTAAACAACACTTCAACTGGAAATGCGGAGGTCGACGAACCAACGGAGGTCAGTTTGGAGGAGACTTTTGATAGGCCAACAATTAATCATTACTTAACATATTGCAATTGCAGGTTTGTATTTAAAGGAGAAATGATCGAGGAAGGCTGTACTTGATAGGGAACATATCCTCCAGATGTTGTGCATGTATTATGCATCTGTGAGTGTGTGACCTACTGGTAGGCACAGTGGCAAACTTGGCACATTCTGAAAAGGTTGACCCCTTAGTGTGTCGCTTTACTCTGTGGGTTTTCCTTTAATGTGGCTGAATCAAAACAAAGTGGAAACAGCTGGCCCACTCTGTGTGTGGTGTTCTTTTTTAGAAAACACGGGTGAAGTGGTGACTGTTTTTTTATAGCTTCCATCTTTGTCCAAGCCTCTTGGCCATGTGTAAAAGCAGCGGCAAGTCTTGTTTATATTGAAAGACATGAGATAAAATACAAAAAAACTCACCTTCGATTGCAAACATACACACACCCCAACAGGTTGAGTCCTTTTGCCATGTGTGCAGAGAGAGTCGGCTCACCAGAAAATCCTGGGGAAATGAGTAACTTAATCTGCGTTAATTGTTTTTAATGTTTAATGTTAAAGATCTGTCACATACATTACACTTTGCTGCATATCATCTATTGTGGGCATGCCAATAAATGCATCAGACAAGTGTAGGTTTCAGGGAAATGAATACGCCTCAGTCTAAATGCTTATAAAAACTACTCTAGCAGAGTTAATTAAAGAGGATGCCACTCTAAAGTTAGCTCCTGGACATTTTTTACAAGTTTCAGTCCCACTTGTTTTCTTTCCTCTCCCTGTTTCTCACCTCTCCCATCTTCTACTTGTGGCCCAAGATACTTTTTTACACAAAAACAGAATGCACAACCACATCCTCCAAAGGGATTAACGGTAGATGTGGGCTTCATTGAAATTATTTCCTTATATCCTAAAGATAAATTCGCTTCCTCCCCTCTGCACATGGCACGGACTTGCTCAGTGCAGTGCAGTCAAATTTGTGAAAACCCATTCTCTTTTAAGGCAAACAATACTAGGCTAATTTTACAAAATATTAATATGGGCATTTTGTCAGTTTTAATCAAAATTAACTTGCATACTAATAGGACAATACGTAGTAAGATAGTACTTAATCAACAGAACTTTCCCAGTCATCCACAAAGTTTTGTGTTCTCTGCAAGATTAGGATTTTGGTTTTGGTTTTGGTCCTCATCAGTCAAAATGTAACATATGCCCACATTTGATTCCTTTTCTTCTTGTTTGCCCCCCAGATTGTATTCTACATCCAGGACAGTGACGATGTATATGGGCTTTTTCGTTTTGACCCAGCAAAAGAGCAAAGCATCCACAGCCAACCTGAGGGTCGTTTCCTGTCGCTAAATTTCTTGCGAGAAGGTGGTACACTGGGGGATGTGTCAATGGCCCTCACCGCCCTTTACATTCCTGCAGGACCTATAGACCCAGCACTGGCCGGTGACCAGGTTCTGAATACCAGCAGGTCTGTTAATGTTGTGTTTTCCCGTAAACGGATGGTCCCCGTCATACTACCAATCCGGAATGATGCCTTTCTTCAGAATGGAGCTCATTTCCTTATACAGGTAACAAGGCTGGAAACAAAGAGCAACTAATACAGTGGATTGATTTTTTTAAAGTTGTAATCTAGGCAACATTTTGCTAGCACGCAAAAAATGTGCTCTTCCATTTGTACTTGGCAAATTTGTTCCATTGAGACCTAAAGTGCCTCATTTGCATGTGTGAACGGTTTGACACTGGCACTCAAATCTGGCATGTGCCAATTGGATTTGCCCAACTTTCCAAACTAACAACACCACCTAAACCAAGCAAAAAAGTTAAAGAGTAGCCTCCTTCACATTCTTTAGTACCATATTCACGTCACATACTGTCAGTAAAACTTTAAATACAGCAGTGAATGGAGCACTCAACAAGTCTTTAAAAGCCACAGACCAGAAACAAGTAGACGTGAAGAGAGAGCTGTAAATGTAATTATTATTATATTAGCATGCTACCAGTTTTATCCTTCAATTCATTTGTTTGGTTTCTTCTATTTTCTCTAGGTGAATACACTGGAGCTGGTTCAAATAAGTCCTCCAATTCAGTCAAACAGCCCCCGGTTTGGGGGACCTTTAAACCTGACCTTGACTGTCACCCCTGACATTGCTAATGGAGAAATTGGCTTTACAAGTAACACCACGGTGGTGCTTTTTGAACCAGAGGACAACAACACCAGCAGAGTAAGATATGACCCTAGTTTTAGCAATTCAAATATTATCAGTTCTATGATACTTGACTTTCACTAGTTCAATATCACATTACCATAATATACCAAAATGTACTTTAGCAGTTAACAGTTTCCTATTTTGCCACTGACTGAGAAGTCTTTAATCTCTGACTTTATAGTCGCCATAATGCTTGTCTGAAAAACTCCCTTTGTCCTTGCTGACTCTATGAACATATGTTCAGAAGTAATCTTTCTCTATGTGCTTATAGAATGTATGGCTGGTTGATTATATTGATGTTTGGTGTTGCAGGTAAGCCTTCCCCTACGCCGTGATGGAACAGATGGTCAGGCTGAAGTGTTCTGGAGTCTTCAGCCGATTGGAGACAATATCGTCGCTGTCACTGTTAACGACTTGGGGCCTCTAAGTGGCTCCGTGGTCTTCCTCTCCGGACAGAGTGATGCTTCTATCAACTTTACCATCATGGCTGATAATATCCCAGAAGTCAATGAGACCTTACTGCTTACTCTCGATAGGTATGGTAATAATATCCAGGAAAAGTTATTGTTAACGAACATAATAATATATCTTTTTTATTAATTTCATCCGAGGCACATCACACCGTTCTGTTCTACCTCTAAACGCAACTTTCACACAATAACCTTTTGTTGTTTAGAATTTGGAGCTGATATTATGTAATATCCAATACAATTAACTAGTCCATTGGAATTGGGAACGGCTGAGTGGGATCTATCCCATCCCTCATTTGGTGTACGTTTACGGTAGGAGGTGGGTTCATCCGTTAGTCTATGTTCTGATGAGAATGGCAGCTTTCTCTCCCTCTCACTCGTCCCTTGTAGGGTGGAGACTGCACGCTTTATAGTGTACTTTGGGTAAGTGCAGATTGGAATGAAACTTAGTCTTTTGTGTGGCGTGAAGAAAGACTCTTTTTTTCTGGAAATAGCCTACTTCAGGATTTCTTGGGTCTTTGGTAGACCAGGAGATGAGGTGGGCGGTAGCGGTTGGGGGGCAAGGATGAGGTGGTGGATTCAGGGTTGGTGTGAAAAAGGGGAACCCAAAGGAGAGTGGTTGTTGGGGGTAAATAGAGATCCTTCTTAGTGTTTTTCTCTAAATTAACCAGATTGCTTTGAAGATGTCAGTGTTTGTATGCATGCAGTGCCTTGGATGTGACCTTTTATTTGGAGTTGTTTATCTGTCATGTCTCGGTCTCTAATTTACTCGTTATGTGATGCTTTCTTGGCTCCTATTTCTCTCTCTCAATGCAAGAATGCATTACAAAATCTACATCAAAGTTGATCTATTGTCTCATTTGATATCAAATGATGTTCCAAAGCTAAAAACGAAAAGAAAAATTTAAAAAACCTTTTCAGTCTCTACTGTACAATGTAGGTGATTGACTGACTGTTTATTTGTGTGTGTATTGTAGGAGTAATGTTAAGAATCAGATCCTGAAAGCCGGCTTTACCAGCAGAGAGATTGTCATCATGGAGAACGATGACCCCGGAGGAGTCTTTGAGTTCTCCTCATTCTCCAGAGGTCCATTGTTCATCAATGTACGTCTTGAAGCTGTAACCTCACATGTATTTGAGTAATTCAAATATCTATCTAACTAAAAAAAATGTAAACCAACATATTCAATCAACATATTGTTATTTCCTCTGTTGTCTCTTATGGTCCTAGGAGGGTGACACTGTGGAGCTGCATGTGGTCAGAGCCCAGGGGCAGCTTCTGAAACAGCTGGTGCGATACGCTGTCATGCCTGTTGGCAACACTGAATTCTATGGCGCCACTGGCATCCTGGAGTTCCTACCAGGAGAAAAAGATCTGGTAGTGACACTAATTGCAAGGCCTGATGAGGTGCCTGAGGTAAGAACATGCTCAATTACGTGCTGACGTTTACATTTTATGTAATAACTTTTTAATTTTGTATGAGGCCTTCTCGGTTTTATAGAGGTCAACTTATGTTTAAACCAAATAAAAGAACTGTGCGTTATATCTGAACGTGAAAACTGTCTGTGTTCTTGTACACCTGTGTGTTCATACAGATGGACGAGACCTTCTCTGTGGTACTTAGTAGCCACAGCACTCCACCCAGTCGTCTAGGCAACTACAGGGAGGTCAACATCACAGTCCGGAAGAACGACGACCCTTTTGGGGTCATTGAGTTCATCCAATCAGGATTGACAGTGGCCATCAATGAGAGCAAAGGGGACAAGATGCACGGGGGTACTTGATTAAGTTGATTTGTTTATTGGAAGAATAAAACATCTAAAACACTCTCACTCTTTAGTTAATGTATTGCCAGTGTCCCGGTACAAATGGGACAACTGCAACAAAAAACTGTGAGGCAGAAAAATACATTATCATCATTTTTTTATACCAAATAGCCTCAAACGCAGGGCATATATCAAGGGAAGAGTACACCAGTGTTAATGACTTTATGTAAGGCTTTAATATTTAAATGCATCTTTCTCTTCTGTTTGGCCTTCAGCGGTGTTCCCTGTTGTGAGGAACAGGGGTAATTTCGGAGAAGTGTCAGTGTCCTGGGTCTTGGAGCCAGCCCGGTCAGGAGACGTCAGTCCTCTCCAGGGAAACATCACCTTTATGGAAAGGCAATACCTCAACAACTTAACTCTCTTCTCCATACCCGATGAGGTAAAATTAGAACATAAACCTAAAATTATCTTTAGTCCAAAACCGAATTAAATTTATTATGATTAATTTTTTTATTTTAAGATCCCAGAGAACATGGAGAATTTCACAATCACACTGTTAAATGCTACGGGTGGTGCAAGACTGGGAAACATACTCCATGCCAATTTACAGATAAATAAGAATGATGACCCCATCTACTTTTCTGGTAAGGATGTCGTTCAGATTACTGTTTATTAAGGATCCTCTTAAAGATTGGGAAAGATAATCATTGACTCCTCCTCACCCCCCCTTAACCCCCCCCCTCCTCCCCCCCACACCTTGGCATCACCTCAGAACCTGTGGTTGTGCGGCTTCAGGAAGGGGGTGTGGCCAACTTTACTGTCTTGAGGGCAGGGCGGATGGACTTTGTTGCCACGGTGATGTACCGCGTAGAATACAGAGAGGCATCTCCAGGGGACATCGCCGTGCTGAGTAACGACACGTTGCTGGTGTATGATGTGGGTGAATGGATGAAGAACATCTCTGTGGCTGTGGAAGATGACAACATACCTGAGACTGATGAGCCCTTCAACATTGTTCTCTACAATGCTACCGGTGAGTTCAATGGATCCTTTGAAAGAAATGGTTAGCACAGGTATGTCCTCGGTATTATAGGAATATTTTATGTGAATCATTGCTTTGTCAGGTGATATAAGGCGGTACCATATCTTCACGCATGTTGGTCGCTTTGGATATTGGAAACAGTATAATTTGCATCGCCTCCACGGATTAACACACCTAAAAGTCATTTGCTTCTCATTAGAAAGTGCTCTCCTAAAATCGTTATTGTGTGTCAGGGATGGGAATGAAAGACCTTTGGGCACCAACAGGACCTTAATTGCAACGTTAATTACCATACTCAAGACTTTCTAAGACACAAAGACCGGCCACTCCACCAGCCTCTCTCTCATTCTATTGATTAACATGGTGTAGAGTAGAGTAAGGGTTGCCCTCGAGTTTATGCTAGGGGATGGTCTTTTTTTAGAGGTTTTGTTGAAAGAAATGTTAGAAGCCAATCAAAGACATTCTTGGAGTTAAAACACATTTGAAATGTCCTGTTTAATTAGGAGCAGATTTGCATGCAGGTTACTCTTGGTCCAGCAAGTTGAAATATGTGCTTGCAGGCCCTGATCCAACTTGAAAATATGATTGTGCCCACAGGGGATGTGGTTGTGTATGGAGCAAACACAGCTACTGTGGTGATTGAGGCCAATGATGATGCCAACGGGATTTTCTTTCTGGAAGCAATAGAGAAACCTGTGGAAGAGGGCAAGACCAATAATGTTTAGTAAGAAACAGGCCTTCAATTCATGTGTTGTTGTTTTTGGCTTCATGCTCATGTACATTTTAAAATGTCTTCTACGCATTGACAAACCCAGAAGTTATACAATACATTCTCAAGTTGTTTTCTCCTGTATTCCAATAATGAAATAATTTCTCTTTTCACTGTCCCAGTATCCTGCGGTCTCGGGGGCACTTTGGTAATGTTACGGTCTTCTGGCAGCTGTTTGCCAATGACTCAGTGACTCCTCTGGAGGAAAACCAAGAGTTTACCAACACATCTGGCTCCATCAACTTCAAAACAGGGGAAGAGACCAAGCCTATTGTCCTGGAGGCCATCTCAGACAAGCTACCAGAATTCAATGAGTTCTTTGTCCTCAGGCTGGTTAATATTTCAGGTGAAACATATTTTACAGATTTGAAAGATTCATTGTGCAGGATTTGGCAACATGGTTGCCTGATCGTGACCCACAGAAACAAGCGTGTAGGAAAGAAAACAAGCTTAATAATATGAAATTCCATTAAGATCTATTTCTATAATTTCTTTAAGGTGGTTATCCAGGCGAGGGAGGTCAACTAGCCAAGACTTCTCTGACTGCCTCCATTCTCATCCCTTTCAATGACGACCCATTTGGTGTATTTTCTATCACCGACAACAACCTGGACCAGGAAATAGCTGAAGATGTAGTCTCAGAGGATGACATGGCTGATGTCACTTCCTTCACCATCCTCCGACAGCAGGGTACTTTTGGCGATGTGCGTGTTGCCTGGGAGATCGTTTCTGGACGCTTCCCAGAGGGCCTTCCTCTGATGGATGACCTGCTCCTCCTAGCATCCTTCCCAGACGAGGTTGAGCTCAGGCCTCATGCCAAGCGGCACCACTCAGCCACAGACACATGGTATTTCTCCGGGCTTCCAGGAGCTTACGGGAACATCTCTCCCAAAGATGGGCCCGCTGCTGTCGGAAACTTCACTTTCTCTGCTTGGCTCGTGCCCGGACCGGACACTGACGGCTTCATAGTCTGCAAAGGATCCAAGAATGGGACCCTGTATTATGGAGTGAAGGTTCAGACCAATGAGTCTCATGTCATGGTGATGCTGTATTATACAGTAATAGGATCAAACAATACCCAAGTGGCCCGGGCCACTGCTGAGAAATTTGTAGAGAATAATTCCTGGTTACATGTCATCATTACTGTTGATGATGGGATTATTGAGTTCTTCCTGGATGGGAATCCTATTCCTGGAGGATTGAAAAGCATCAAAGGAGAGGGCATCGCTGATGGTGAGCTAATCTTCTGCATATGGTGTCATGATTTTTTTGCATGTCGGTTGTCTCATGCTACTTATATATACTTATACTTATATATGAAAATTGTTACCCATTGGAAATTTTACAAATTTGACCAAATTGAATGTGAAGCTGCGATGAAATTACTCTTTTTAATTCATGCCATAATCCTTTTCATTCACAATTCTAATATCAACTAAAATGTGTGTGTGTGTGTGTGTGTGTGTGTGTGTGTGTGTGTGTGTGTGTGTGTGTGTGTGTGTGTGTGTGTGTGTGTGTGTGTAAGCGTGTGTGCGTGCTTGCGTGTATGAGTGACTGTGGGGAGAAGGTTTCAAGAGTCTGTCATTGTTCCCGTATGGAATGAGAACAAGACTTAACTTTCTTACAAACAAAATGCAAAAACACTTTCTCGCACACACGTATGCACACACACACAGACACACACACTCACGTCTCAGTCACTTCCTTATTGTTTAGGACTTCTGGAACTGCTATGCTTGAGTGACCCTTTTAGCTTCAGCACTGCTGGATATTGTTACGGCTAAAGGGAATCAGTCGGCATCTTCTTTTCTTTCAATTCTCTCTCGTTAATGGGGACAATATTCACAGTCTGTATTGAACTCAAACCTCACAAAGGAGACATATTTGAATGGTTCGTTGGCTAACTTCAATCACAGTCGATGTATATGTTATCATCAATCATGTCATGTGTTATTGCCTGCCACGGTAACCCAACTCACAGCGAACGTTTTTTTTGTCAGGGCTTTATATCTGCTCACTATGGCAGATTGACTGCATTCATCAGTACAGGAGGCACGAGAGAAAATAAATAATTAATGAGCAAGAAATGTTGAGCTTGGAAGCAATTGCCGAGATATAAGAAACAACTGTGAACAAATAGTTACAATAGTTGTAAACCATATATTCATTTTCTGTATAAAATAATCCATTGGTTTTTTTGTGTACTTTCATTTTAGGACCTGCGTCAGTGTTTATAGGGTCAGATCCACAGGGTGAACAGCGATTCACCGGTCTTCTCCAGGATGTTCGCTTGTACAGTACGAAGCTGAACCGCAGCCACATTCACGAGCTTCACACGCAGCCCGCTAAAGCAGACCTGCGTAACATCTCCGGTTTCCTACGGTACCGGCAGGACGAGAGGCAGAAGTCGTTCGTTGTGGAAGCCAGAGATGACGAGGAGGAGGAGGGAGAGGAGGTTTTCTATTTACAGTTGGTAGCAGTTCAAGGTGGAGCACGCCTCCCTTTCCCCAGACCCACTGCAACTTTGCGAGTCCTGAAAAGTGACAATGCCAATGGGCTTTTTGGATTCACCGGTGCCTGCATTCCTGATGTGAGTGCACAATATTTGGTGGACCGGTTTTTGATGCATTGAATGTCTGTAAGTCCCTCATGAAGACTGCATTAACCAAATTACATTCAATGAATTTTCTTTTAAAACGTAAACCAGACTGGTAATTGAAGGAGTTAATAATCCTTTGAATGTACTAGTTTACGTTACCACTGTAACATTTTTTTTTATGCATATAATCAAGAGTAAAGTAAACCGATTGTTTTTGTCAGTCCCTGTCCTGCTGCATATTTCATCAGTCTTCATGCATGGCTGCAGGGGGAGCATGCTCTCAATTTTTAGTTTGATTGGAAGCGTGGGCTCTCATGTTGACCCCTCTCAGGTAGAGCGACAGCTGGCTGGGCTACCGAAGGTCTGCCAGTAAAGGCATTCCTATGGAAGTGGATAAGGAGTTCCAGCACTGGAGACGGGGGATCTAGTTCCTCGTTGCCATCAGCACGACAGGTGTCAGGGCCCGAGATGGCATTCCATCAGAACTAGGGGATCTTCTATATATCCTTTATCTTTTGTGGATAAATGGAGAGGCATTTGGGCTATCAGGTGCTTCCTGTTCAAATCTAATTATTAATGTGCTTGAATTAAACTGGCTCATTAACATAGTTTAAGACTAGCTTATTCAAGCAATCAGTTAATTTATCATTTTGGCCTCAGGTTCAAAACATTTATTCTGTTTGTCCTTACAGACAAGTGAGGAGGGTTCCACTATCTCATGTGTGATTGAGCGCACGCGGGGATCTCTGGACCAGGTTTTCGTCAACTACAGTGTTACCCAACTGGACAGTGAGACGCCAGCCCATCAGGATTTTGTTAATTCCACTGGAGCTGTGTTTTTCTCGCCAGGAAAGCGCTCTTTGGGTGTGTGTGTGTGTGTGTGTGTGTGTGTGTGTGTGTGTGTGTGTGTGTGTGTGTGTGTGTGTGTGTGTGTGTGTGTGTGTGTGTGTGTGTGTGTGTGTGTGTGTGTGTGTGTGTGTGTGTGTGTGTGTGTGTGTGTGTGTGTGTGTGTGTGTGTGTGTGAGATTGACAAAAACGGTTGGACTTGTATAAATGTGATAAGTGTGGGAAAACCCTCTGATGTTATCCAGTGAAGCTATGCAGTGGTTAGATAAAATTGCGATGTACATTGTCTGCAGTGTTTTCAAACATTAACGTACTAATTCCAAATTAATACTATATGCCGAAAACAGGATTTCACACACACACCCCAAATAATAATGTTCATGGACAACCAGCCCCACCTAGTGGTTTATTTGTCGGTAAATTGAATCAGTTAACAGGTGCCAGTGGATAATCAGGCTTTTATGTTGCCTTCGGAAATATAGATTAAATCTTCAAAGGTGCACACTGTACTAATAGCACATTCTTTCTGTTAGGTGTTGAACCTGTTGGTGTTGAATGATAATCTCCCAGAGCTGGCAGAGTCCTTTCTGATTACGCTGGTGTCAGCAGAGTCAGGTGATGGCAAGCAAGGCTCCACTCCAACCAGCGGTGCAAGCATCGACCCAGCAAACTCCGTTAACAACGTCACTGTCACAGCAAGTGACCACCCTTATGGTATTCACTCACGTGCCCCCAAAAGATTACAGTTGTTCTTTAAACATTGCACGTTTTAGCAATAAGAGATCTGTACGTATAAGATGATGTAACGTGATAGGTAAGCTAAATAAAATTACAATTTTCCCTCTCTTTCCTTTTTCCTCCCCCACTATGTCTGCCGTCCCACTTCCATCTCACCTGTTCCCTCTTTTGTCTTTATATTACTATAAAACACACACCTTTCCCATAATCCAGGCCTGCTACAGTTTCAACCCATCCCTCAAGGAGAGGGATTGATCCCTCCGGCATTAGAACCTGCCCACATAACTGTCAACGAGGAAGATGGACAAATCCATTTGCTGGTGGCCAGGGCCCAGGGCCTTTTGGGAAGGGTCATGGTTGGGTACAGGACGACCCCCTTCACAGCATCCAGCCCTGAAGACTATGAGGTTTGTTTCTACTGGGGTCTTTTATCTCACGCAGGCATACACATTAATGATGGGTAAACTAATAAGAAGTTGGTGAGAGAATACATTTGTCTTGCTAACCTGGTTAATTCTTTCTGGATATTCCTCTGGCAGGACTCGGAAGGCGTGCTGGACTTTCTTCCAGGGGAGAGGTTAAAGTTCATCAATGTGACCATCATAGACAATCCTGTCCCTGAGCTGGATAAGATTTTTAGAGTGGAGCTCTACAATACTGAAGGGGGAGGTGAGAAATATTAGCCTGCAATTATGAATCATGAACTGTTTTCATAAGTTAACTTTAAACGTTTAAAAACAATAGTCACATTTTGCAATGTTTTGAGCGGTAGAACAAAATTCCAGTTTTTTACTATGTTTTATTCAAAGAGGAACATACTTACTTATCCTAATTAGAACTGAACCAACCCTTTATTCTGGCCTTCTGTTTTGTGTGCTCTGTGTGCTGTGGTCCTGTGTGCTTCCCTATAACCACCTACTTCTGTGACTACCTTCCTTCCCTCCCATCAATCTCCACTCTACTCCTTCGGTGTGATTCTAATCGTGTGTGATCCATCAGTGGATCAGTTTCTACGTAGTGAAGGAAGTGGTAGTGGGGAGAGTGACTCTGACTTCCTGCTTCCATCCTTTCATCACTGTGGTGAGTACACCCCTTCCTTTTTCCCTGCGCTGCCCTTGTCTCTATTCCTTCATCTCCAAACCCGCACCATTTCTCACTCAAGCTGCATACATAGGTAAAGTTCTTTAAGGGATCATTGGGACATGCTGCTGTGGACAAGCAATATTTTGATCTGACACCTACGCTGATATTTCATGTTTTCATAAATCACAAGTACTCTGTCTTTCTTTCAGAATAATATTTTTGGCTGGTTGGAGAGACTAAAAAAATACTCTCCTCTGAACGCTATTTGTCAAGTGCATGCATAGGTGTGTGTGTGCATATGCCTGTGTGTTAACTGTAGGCGGTATTTACATTGTACTGTGACCCCTGTGAAACGTACCCAAGGAGAGGCATGTGGGAAAAACAAATAGCCTTTCACAGGCAGCAGGGGTAAATGGTCGACATATTCGTCAGAGACCCCAGGGTTTTCCTACTAAGAAGAATGTTATCCCCTATTCTGAACAACCCACATACACTGCCATTTCAGTCTGATTCTGTTGACCATAAAATCTCTTTTTTGATGGTAAGAAGGTTTATTATTATTGGGTCATTTCTGTTAAAATCCCTGGCTTGTTTGGTTACAAGATGACCTTCGCACAGGGTTCTTCTCATTTATTTCATACTGATACTGGAATGGGTGACTTAAAAGCAACACATACATTTTTAAAATTAAATTCAGTATTTTGTTTGTAGCCAGCTTGGGAGCTGCGTCCCGCATCACGGTGACCATTGCTGCTTCTGATGATGCCCATGGAGTGTTTCAGTTCAGTCCTGAATCCCTGACTGTGAATGGAACAGAGCCTGAGGATGGACGCAGCTCGGTTGTCCTGCAGGTCAGTGTATTCGTAGTACAAAATTAGGAAGTGCCAAGAGATAAGTGTTTCTTTATATTGTGTATCATCATGCTATGTTATCTTTTTGTTTTCTCCTAGGTGGATCGGGCATTCGGTGACCTCTCAAACGTAACCGTGTACTGGGAGGCTGATCCGAGTTCAGAGGGGGAGCTACTCAGCAGGTTTGGGAACATCACCTTTGGTGTAGGTCAGACGTCGGAGAACATCATCATCAATGTGGCCCAGGATGAGATCTCTGAGTTGGACTCGAGTGTCAGCGTTTCCCTGGTTAACGTCACCCATGGTCGTCTGGGTGTCCAGACATCTGCCACTCTGACTGTGCTCGCCAACGACGATCCTTACGGCGTTTTTGTATTCGCTAATAAAACGAGGTCTGTCCGACTTCCCGAAGCCTACTCAACTGTCACCCTCATCATCCTGCGACAGAGGGGCCTGATGGGTCAGGTGGGTCTTTCTGTAGAAGGTTTAATAGTAAGCATAGAAATGTTGCTCAGTTTCTTTGGGTTTTGATAATGAAATATCCGAATGACATTTTTAATATCTCTAGGTGCGAGTGACTTATGGAACGCTGAAAGAGGGGGATCCGGAACCTTACAGCACCCCAGGGTTGGGCCGAGCAACTGAGGGGCGGGACTTTGTTCCCCTCTTGGATTCAGTTGTGTTCCTGGCCAATCAGAGTGAAGCAAACATCACCATCCAAGTACTGGATGATGAGGATCCAGAGAGAGATGAGTCGGTGTTTGTGGTGTTGATCAGTGTTCAACTCATCACAGGAGAGCAGGAGAGGCTCAGTACGATACCGACACCCCCACAGATATAAGACATAACTATACTCATCATACCGTGCTAAGCTGATGAAACCTCCTCTTTTTGTTCCTTCCAGTTTCCAATTCTCCTTCGCTGGGCCTCAGGGCTGACATTGTTGCCCAGGTGATAGTGGAGGCCAGCGACGATGCTTTTGGAATCCTCCAGCTGTCAGCTTCAGCTGTCAGTGTAGCTGAGCACTACGTTGGACCCATAATAAATGTTACACGTGTAGGGGGGATTTTCGCTGATGTATCCGTCAAGTTTCGAGCAATGCCTTTGACCGCCAGAGTCAGTAAGTGTTGGGCATGGAGCACGGATTTACATCTTTCTCTTTATCATTTGTGTTTGAGCAGACAGGCGATGTCCATATACATATACGTGTGTGTAATCCTATAGGTGAAGACTACAGTGTAGCCTCCACTGATGTGGTCCTCCTAGAAGGGGAGTCCAGTAAGTCGGTACCCGTCTATGTCATCAATGATATCGTCCCTGAGCTGGAGGAGACTTTTCTCATCGAGCTGATAAACCAGACCACTGGTGGAGCTCTCTTAGGGGAGCTCAGGCGTGCCATCATCACCATACTGCCTTCCGATGACCCTTTTGGTGCCTTTGGTTAGTAGACATAATCCAGGATTTGTTGTCTTTATTTTATTTTGACTATTTCTAAATGTTCTTCATTTTATTTCTACAAAGTCTTCCAAGCTGTTCCAGTTACCATAGAGGAACCAGGGTCTAATTCTATGGAGGTCAAGTTGCCCATAGTCCGTAATGCTGGTACTATTGGCACAGTGGTAGTCCAATGGCAGGCCACTGTCAATGGTAAACTAGCAGTGGGGGACATCCGACCAACATCGGGAGAGATTACATTTGCTCCTGGAGAGACTATGAAGATTCTCCAGGTGGAGATTTTAGCAGATGATGTACCTGAAACCACTGAGGTAAGAAGCTGACAGTGAGAATTATGTTTTTACGTAATTTAAGTTACAATTTATTAATAATTTTCTGTCTTTTCTAGATAATTATGGTGGAGCTTATTGGTGCCAGTAATGGAGGAAGCCTCGGGGTTGATAGATCTGTTAATGTAATAGTGCCTGACAATGACAATCCATATGGGACAGTGTACTTTGAACAGACTGTTTACCGCTTTCAGGAGCCACTGCAAGGAGTTTATAGAGCCAATATCACTGTCCACAGGAGGTATTTTAATATTATTGTTTTCTTGGTAATAATGGGATTATTTAAAGTTGTTTTATGTACTCTCATGTACTCACCTCTTCCTGTCTGCTGTCTTTCCTCTATCATCCCCATTGTCTTTATTCTAGAGGCGGACACTTTGGTCGCTTGGAGATCGTGTACAGCACCTCAGAGGTGGACATTGTTGGCTTGGCTCAAGCTGACGGCCAGAATCTACTAATGTACTATAACACCCCAAAACCAGGTGTTCCATCCACTGCCCCTGGGAGGACAGTCAACATCACCGGGCAGAGTGACGCTTTGGCGGCATGCGCTGCTGCCTGTCTCAGAGAGCAGGCCTGCAAGGCCTTCTGTCTCTCATCACGAGAGACCTTGCCATCCTGCACTTGGGTGACTTCAGGGGTTGACCAGCTGACCCCTCAAGCTCAAGTTATGACATATGTAAAAAACGTTACGGCAGCTGCTGTCCTGTTTAGTACCCAGGCTGTGGCAGGAAGTGATTACAGCCCTGTGACAGCTCAAAGGGCCTTCATGGAAGATGGATCAGGGGTTGCCAACCTCACAGTCCCAATCTTGACTGATACATTTCCTGAAATGGATGAGAGCTTCTCCATTCACATCTTAAAGGTAAAACCCCTGTGTTATCCATGGTTACATTTCTATTACATGCATTCAGTTTGAACTGTGTAGCAAATAACATGTTTTGCCTTGTATTGTTTTAAGGTAGAACTGATAAATCTGACAGTGGCGCAGAAGAACCTGCCCTCGATTGGCCTGCCAGATAAAGCTGTGGTCACAATAGGGATGAATGGAGATGCATTTGGCGTATTTTTGATATACAGCCTCAGTCCCAACACCACTAATGAGGGGCTCTATCTAGAGGTTCGAGAAGAGCCAATGGTTGTGGTGCCTCTGGTTATAGAGAGGAGAGGAGGGAATCTGGGCATTGTCACCATAGAGTGGAGGTTTGTGGGAGGAAAGGGTACACCGGATGCTGACTTCAGTGGCACTGGAGGGATTCTGGTCTTTAATGGTATGTTGATCATTCACTGATTTAAAATAGTATTTTGTTTTGTAATTTTTAAAAGAGACAAAAAAGATTATCTTTCTACAGGTGACCTGAAGAAGACAATCGAGATTTTAATCAGGGATGATATTGTACCAGAGGACAATGAGACCATCATGATTGGTCTTGTTAATACGGAGGGAGGAAGTCGGATCCTGCCCAACTCTGACACTGTAACCATAGTGATACTGGCAAACGATTATGTGGCTGGAATAGTAGGATTTCATCCGGCCTCCCGTTCCGTCATCAGCAGAAAAGGTGGTTAGCTATTTCTCATGATTTGCGAGCACTTTATATTTGATATTTGTTCTGTTTGTTCAAGCACATTATCACCCACATACTATGCATTCCAAACTCTTTACACTTTCCTTGTCAGTAGAGATTTTAACTATTTATGAGTGCTAAAGTAAGGGAATGCACCAGTGAGTAACAACAGGTGTGTTCTATGGCTGTCTGTCGTTGTCTTGAATTAATTATGCATGAGGGATTGTAGTCTGCCTGACTTTAACTTGGGCAACTTGGGGCATGAGTTACACATCAGAAGTACACAAGAACGTATATCTTTACAATTCTACATCCGAACTTATATTTTATATTACAGGTGAAAGGCTGTCCTTGCTGGTGACGAGAACAGCTCCTGGTCTGGGTAATATCACTGTTGACTGGAATGTAAAAGGGCCCCTTGTACACCAAACCTTCCCCAAAATCTCAGGGACACTTTATTTTGCTGAGGTGAATATCAGATGGAGATCATTTAACATCTTGTACATGCACAGTATAGCAATGCAGACTTTTGCATGGATCTACATATTGTTTTTGAGTTGAATCGACATAGCTGTAATTTATTGTCTCAGGCAGCAACCATGTATTTGGGTGTGTCTCCTACAGGGAGAACTAAATGACACCATAGTCCTGCAGCTTCTTGATGATGCCACCCCAGAGGACAAAGATGAATACAAAGTTTCCTTGTCCAACATACAAACATTTGGTAATCCATTAACTTCTAGTATATTTGTGGTCAATGTTAGTGCATGAAACGGCAAACTGCCGCGTGGTTCCGATTTATTACAGAGATTAACGTTACACTGATTTCCACACAGGTGTTGTGGTGACAGGTCATGCTGCGCTAGATGTTCAGGGTAGTGAGGCGGTGCTTACTGTGGACACCAGCGACGAACCCTACGGGCTGCTCACCATCGCCCCGTCATCCCTCAGGGTGACCACAGAGGAACGGGACCAAACTATAAACATCTACGTCAATAGAGAGTTTGGAGCCTCAGGTTTGTTGGCCAATTGTGAACACCAACACTTTTACAAAATGAATGGGTTTCTTTTAATGAATTCTGTTATTTATATTCTAACTTATGTTCTAAATGTGTGTGTACAGGAGCAGTGAATATCACCTATGAAGTTATAAGAGGTTCCCTCCAAGACATGTCGTTGGTGGAAGGTTCTCTCGCTGAACCGGGACAAGACTTCATTTCTGGTTCTAGTTCCGTAATACTTCAGGATGGACAAACTTCTGTCGCCATACCGGTCACCATACTGGAGGTAAGCCTTGGCATTCCTCCTTTCTGTCATTTATTTTCCGCAAACTCTGCTTCCTGGCTGTGAATTTGTATGTGCAGTATCTGGAATTTAAAAGCTTTCAATTCAAACACAATATCTTTAGGACAACATTCCTGAGCTCCAGGAGTTCTTCCTGGTCAACATAACATCAGCAGTGCTCATCACAACTCTTGCCACTGTTCCCAAACTAGGTATGGATACATTTAAGCGTGGAGTTGATCTGTTGTTACTAAATTATAGACTGTGTTTGTGAAATTTCTGCTCTTTTTTCCTCTTTACAATTTCTCATTATTTTTGATGAATAGAAGTTTTGTATTGTAAATTGCCAGGTAAATTATATATTTATGTGTTGTCAAGCTTAAAACAGGGTGTAGTTTCATGTACCATACCGCTGTATTAACAATAGTTTTTCCGTCACGGTGCACCATGGAAAAGCTTGGTAGTGTTTGCTACTACTTTTGCATAATCATAAACAACAGTTCAATTTATGAATGAGGAACTTCAGAAAGTGATGAGCGGACAGAATACTACTCAATAGCAGGATCCCGGAATACTATCGTACATCTGCGTGGAAACAGTAAACACGCAACCGCTTTTTTGGCAGCAGTCATTATGTGGCTTGGACGTGGAGATTGATGCTTTCCATGATTGAGGAAGCCTGGGGATTTGGTGGGAGCAGAGTTGCACACTTATGAGTGAAGATAGAGAACGCCAAACTAAACCCGGAGCTGGCCTCCCACAGTCTAAGCCATGAAGTGATTGCCAGCAGTCTATTCAGGACATCATAAATCAGTCCTCCAACAGACTTTGCTGCTCGGCCATCCAAGCGACTTACAGTTTGACGCTTCATCGCTTTGCCCAAATGAACCTTGACGGACGTTAGATTCTCTACAGTTTCCTTTCGCATATCTTTTTTCCGTGCTTGTGCTGCAGTTATCCCTTTAGTCACAATATGCTATTGAGAGCATTAGGCTCATCATGTGGTTGCTTATGGTGTATAATTCTGTAATTATTTCCTCAGACACCCAGGGTTTGGTGGTCGAGGTTAGCATTGCTGCTAATGATGGAATTAGAGGAGTCATTGAATGGACAAACACTATGTAAGAAGGCCATCCACAAATAACAAATTCCGTATATACATGCTTCAAATGTTTTTATAATGCAAATATGTTGTGGTTTGCAGGTTTGAAGTGAACGAAACAATAGGAGTACTGACTCTAGTGGCTTACAGGAACAAGGGGACATATGGAAATGTCTCTGTCTTCTTCTATGCTCAGAACCTAGAAGCTCAACAGGGACTAGACTACAACACCAGTGAAACGGTCAGCCACACGCAGTATTGAAACATTATTCAAAAAGTCCCAGACTCACTTGAACATACTTACATGGTCCATGATATTCTCCTGTGCCACACAGATGCTCCATTTTGTAGATGGCGAAAGGCATAAATTTGTAGAAGTGCAGATCGTCGATGACGCCATTCCAGAAGGAGCTGAGAGATTCAAGCTCATCCTATCCAAGCCCTCGCCTGGGCTGGAGCTGGGAACCAATACCACAGGTACCTCACATCCAACCTCACATCAATACAGGTACTCGTACACAACAAGGTGACGTGGTATACAAACGCAGAAGACCGAGTGGTTCTCTACTTATATAGAACTCCACTTTGGATTGAATTTACGTTATTATATCACCTCAGGCTACACGAGAACACCTTGCTGTGTGATGTTGCTTATTCAACGGCATGCTTTACAATGGAACAATAAATTATGCACAATGATACAAAAGTTTGTATGCAACCTATCCATTTACTCTGGTTCCTGTTCCAATGCCATGTAACAAAAAGGGAAAACTATGTAATATGGTGGTAGAGAATAGAATCTCCAACTTTGTCACTATGATATTATCTTCCTGAACTACAACTTTCTGTTTCCTTGTAGCCTCCGTAAATATCCTGGCCAGTGACGATGGACATGGTGTAATTTCATTTAACACCAGCGAGCATTTCTTATTGAGGGAGCCCACATCTGTTTCTGGGCTGAGTGAGAGTGTGGCAACGCTGTACGTGGTTAGGAACCCTGAGAAAGGCACATTTGGCACTGTGACTGTTCAATTTACCATTACTGATGCCAACGGCAGTCTAGCAGAGGGCGATTTGATGCCAGCACAAGGGTTTGTGGTGCTTGAAGATGGAGCCAAATTTAAGGTACAGGAAAGTCAATTTTTAGTTGCTGAGAGCATTCAAACACATATGTGAGAACATATTATTATTCTATTGTGTTTCAGATGCTGGAGATACGGGCAGTGCTGGATGCTGAGCCTGAAGTAAATGAAACCTTCACAGTGACCCTGTCCAGCCCAACAGGGGGTGCACGGATGGGGCACCAACTCAAAAGTCTCATCACCATCTTGGAGAACTTAGCACCTTCAGGCTTGTTCCGCATTGGACCTTCAATTAACAGGTCTCACTACAGATGTACTAGCAAATTGTAAACTTGGAATGTCCTAAACACTTCTACCAGTGGTTCTCAAATATATTATAACAAATTCAAACGCCCCTAAGAAATGAAAATTGAAGAAAAATAACATACCGAACCAACATGACACGTAGAGGAGAGAGCGAGTGAGAGAGAGAGAGAGACATGAAGAAACCTCACGTCAAACTGTGTCTTGTCTAATTCTATATGTGTTTTCTGAACAGAACTAACACAAAGGTGATTGCTGAAGAAGGTGGCATGGCGGTCTTCCTCACCGTTTCTCGCAGTAATGGTCTGGAGTCGTCTGTCAGTGTGGAATGGGAGATGCAATCCGACTCAGCTATTGCCTCTGGTGAGACCAAAAAATGTCTTAGGTCACCCCAACTGTCTGAACACTCATGAATGCCCCCTCCTTTCTTCTGTTATTTATTGTGCCATGTCCACAATAACTTTTCTTAACTTATATTTTTTTCTAGAGGGTCACCTCCCAGTGATGGGTGTGTACCAGAACTTTGAGGACAATCCCACCTCTTCTTGGTGCTCCCTTCCCGAAGGGCCTTCCTCTCTGGCCATGAGGCTGGATAAGAGGCCTGTTGCTGGATCCTCCCTCACTGTTGCCACTCTTTATCGGTGGCAGGGGGTTTTAGTGCCAGTAGAGGTAGGCTAACAAAAGCATATGATGTACCTACTGTAAACACATATTCTCAAGGGTGAAATCCAATGGAAACTTTATTAACGGGTTAGGGTTAAACTCTTTCTCTATTTTGGTGATTACAGTCTATTAGGATTCAGGATCCAAGCTCCTGTGTGGGGTTTGCGGTGAATGGCTCTACCTACATTGCAATTACACATGGCGGTCCTCCTTTTTACCCCGCTGCAAACCTCAGCATCTTCAAGATGCAAATGGACCTCAATATGACATTGGTAAGTACAGACTCCACTATCAACCCTTCTTCATATGCTACCTTTACACTCTAGTGTTTTCTTGTGTCATTTTCCATTAATTTGAGGCAATCTGATTTTTTTAGGAACAAACCTTAGGAGTTGAAGCTCTTAATGTGAAACACTTTGCTACTGAAGGCAGAGATTATCTAATAGCATCAAGCCAGGTAACCGTGCAACTGTTTGGTTTTAATATTTTTTAAGTTATGTCAAGATTATTAAAAGCAGGAAAATACTTCTCATCAGAGAAATGTCAATCAAGCCTGATACCATTGCATTTGTTTTGTGTCATTCCACAGATATTTGTCCGGACGGGAGGCTTCTTCGCCCTCCACCAGACTCTCAACAACGAAGAGGACATCCTCAGTGTAACTCCATTTGCTCGTGCGGCTGTTCCCTACCTGTTAGTGTGCATAGACAGACAGACTGTCAGCTGCCTCCTGCTTCAGTGGACCAGTGGGAGATTTCAGGATGCACAGCCTCTCCCACTCGCTGGCAGAGCGATTCACGTGGAGACAATCAACACAAGAGCAGAGAACACTCTCCTGTTTGCTGCTGTTGAAGGTGTCCCGTCTTTCTTCGTCACATGTCATTCATTTCTCATGTGTCTCATTTGAATAACTTCCGTCAGTTGTTTATTTTTGAGGGTCAGCTAATTGATGTGTCAAACAATATAGTAGATTTAATTAGAGTTGTGTTTGTCTGTTATTTTACTTTTAAAAGACTATAAGGCTGAAATTACATGTTAAAGTGACCTAAAATTCTACTATATTCTTAGAAGATAGTCGTGTGTCTAGAATAACAAGATACTATTTTCTGTGGTTCTACTCTTAATGTACTTTCTAGTGGATTTTGCAGCGGTTGGATGTTGGTCAAGTTAGTACAAACAAATCAGTTATACTTCAGAAGGTTCACACAAAACCGCCTTGTTCACTTGTCTGTTCGATTGCAACATTTGCAATGTAGGCCTAATCATATATTTATACTGCGCTCTGTTTATTTTGATGAGACATAATCTCTCTGAGTCCGCAAAAGTGGTGAATTTTCCTGGTTCAGACCTCTAGTGGGTTTACAGGAAAGACCTTAGTGTGGAGCCAAGCAGAGCCAGAGAGTAACTGAGACGTTATAATTTGTAATTCTTGGGTGTGTCAGGCAAACCAGACCCTACTTTACATAAACATGTTATTCTAGCATGAAAGGAAACATAAATCCATGTTTTTTTCAGCGCATTCCTGTATCTTTCTCTAGGTCCTTCTCCATCCTGTGTAGTGTTTCAGTGGAGCTCAGGGCAGCCTTTTCCACAGCTTTCTCAGTCTATTCCTCATCCAGGCCTTACTTCTATTCACCCCTTCACTTCTTCTGGCATCAGTAAGTACACATTTCTCAGACTGCGTTGTTGGTTTGTAAATGGAGCTTTTTTATTTTGATCATTCAGTTTGTACTTTTATCAATTGGTCAGACAAACTAATTTCATATTTGTCTCGTAGCTTATGTCTTGCTGGCTGGAAGAAATGGCTCGTCACTCTACTCCTGGAGATCTGATGTCAACCTGCTTGTTATGGTCCTGAGGGCCCCTCCGGCCTTTAGCTTCTTCTCTCTCCTGGTCACATCCCTCAACACCAACAAGACCCTCTTGGCTTCTAATGAGGAGAGTAGTTCATCTGTTTATCAATTCACTTCTGTCTCCAATCAGTCTGATTTCATACCCAGGTACTCAAATTATTTGACAGACACACCAGATCTAAGCGAGAAAAGCCGATCGTGTACATTGAATAAATCGTGTTGCGTTTTCTTTCATCACGTCACATTCAGTTTTGGGGAGTTGCACTTTGGACCAGGTGACAGCGAGCTAGAAATAGCAGTGAACATTATAGACGATGACATCCCTGAGGAGCAAGAGTACTTCCACGTCAGTCTGAAGAATCCAAAGGGCGGGGCTGAGATTGGATTTGGTGGTCACGTGACTGTCTTTGTCCCAACCAACGACGATGCCCATGGAGTCATCGGCTTTGCTCAGGTAAACAGATACTTTAGACAGCATGTGGATTTACCACAAATTGCACAAAGAAGTCATTTATGTGCAGCCATTTTGTTAAACCTCAATTTACTTACATCCTATCATAAGATCAGGCATATTTAAGCATTACTGTATTATGTATTGTATTGTATTATGTAAATATCCGGTCATCACCACTCTGCAGAATTCTCTATCTGTGGAGGTGGAGGAGTTGGAGCAAAATAATCAGATTTCTCTCAGTATGGAGAGGAAAAGGGGGACTTTTGGCAGACTGACCGTTCACTGGGCCGCCAATGGGAGTCTGGCAGACATTTACCCCACGTCAGGAGTGGTGAGCAAACCTTTCCCTCCTGTCATAAACAAGACATCACTGTATGTATTGACAACATAGTAATAACAATAAATACATGACAATTGCCAAATGACAGTACATAAGACAAGTTAAAAAATTTTATATTTCTAGGTAATATTTTCAGAGGGACAGTCGGTGGCCAACATCTCGCTGACTGTAATAGCAGATGGTGTCCCAGAGCTGAGGGAGAGTGTCACCATCACCCTTGTAGATGTCACCACTGTGGGGTTGCAGGACCTGCGACAGGCTGCAGTCATTGACAAGCAACGGGCACTGGCTCTGCTCACCATCCGACCAAATGGTTCTCCCTACGGGATAATTGGCTGGCATCCTAACTCCCAGTTAACCCTAACACAAGAACCACAAAGTATGTGTACAATTGATGTCGCAAGAAAGTTATAAATGAGTGATGATTTGCATTGATTGTATTTTTTTTTACTGGATCACAGTGCAGAGGAGACTTATTCAATGTAACAAGTTCTAATCACTTCTAAGATTTTCAAAGATATCCCCAAATATATCTCCCTGTTACAGAAATGGTTGCCGAACATAATTAGCGTTTGTAGTGAGCACACTGAGATTAACTGTAAAGGTGTTTTGCAGTCATTTCCAGCATGTAAAGTAATACAGATTTGCCTTAACCATTGTGTTGGAAGCCACCCCTAAATGTCAGAAAAGTCCAAGTACCGGAGAAGTATACCTGACTAATGTTATGGGGTGCTTCCTGATTTTGGTTGTTATTGCTGCATTCCTTCACCATTTATTCCCCCATCTCACAGGGGTTCCAGTGAATGTGACACTCTCTATAGTTAGGGAGCAGGGCTCTTCAGGTGAAGTGGAAATCCATTACCAGACCAGGCCGCCTCTGTACAAGCCCCCCTCCAACCAGGCCTCTCCAGGACAGGACTACATTTCAAAAGATAACACCATCATTATGATGAATGGTGCTACAGTGGCTCTTGTCACCGTCACAATCCTACCGGTGAGGAGACGTTGCTGACTAATTGACTAATAAAGTTTTTTTTTTTTTTTTTTGAGAAATACTTATATATATATCAGGAATAGGAATAATGTTTTGCTACCAACTTAATTTGTCTACTAAACACATAAAACCAAGAAAAAAAGTATTAAAAAAAACTGAGAAATGGGATAATATATTTTTTTCTGCACTTTTACACCTCCCGCCCATTCAGACTGGTTACGCAGATCCACTCTTCCAGTTCCACTTTGTACGTTTTATCCTGAAGGGAAAGTATAAAAGTCGATCTGCATAACCTCTGCATGGCCAGAAGTGTGGAACTTTTAAAATAAAGTCGTGGCTGAGAAAAAACATTTCAGTCCCCGTGAGTCTCCTTCTTTTCTCGGTTTCTTGGACTAAAGCCTCCAGTGGCAAAGCAAATTTGCATTGTGTGGATTTGAACTTTGAAAGATGTAGTCGATGCCACTTAGCACCCACATTCAGCATGAATATTCACTTACCAGTTCATATGGATATTATATTATATATATATAATACATTTCTATGATTGAGAGAGAACATGTATGTTTGCATTACTCAGTGTACGTGTGCATGTGTGTGTTTTCTAAGGATGACGTTCCAGAGCTGGCAGAGAGTTTTCTTGTAAATATCACCAGTGTGGAGCTAGTTAGTGGGTCGATGGGGGGAGGGCAACCCAGTGTGAAGAGGCCTGGTATGGAAGTAGCAGAGGTCACCATCCAGGAGAATGATGACCCTCGAGGGATTCTGCAGTTCAATATGTCCAAGGTGAGCTTAATCTCTGTGACAGTGACTTGGACATGAACATGATAGAGATGAGGTCTAAATAATGATATAATCATTTCTGTCTTTGATGCAGTTTGCAAACATCTAGTTTTGAGCTTTATCAGGAAACTACTTCTCAACTGATGCAATACAGACAGAAATTCAGTCTTGATTAAACACTATTCCTCAATATTTTGTCCAGGATATCACAGGAAGCGTGCTGGCATTTGAGATTCCACCACCAGACAACATCCTCCATCTGTCGGTGATTCGCCTTGCTGGTACAACTGGAAGACTGGTCCTCTACTGGGAGGCTCTGCCGGGCACTGCTGATGTCGACGATTTCAGACCCTCATTTGGGAACATCACCTTTCAAGATGGGCAGGTAATGGATGAATTGTCCTTATTTTAAATCAATCTGCCTGTAGTTTTACGAGCCAGAATGTGATGCTGTCCGCAGGTTTTTTAAAACAGAGATTCCAGGTTGTTAGCTTGTGTTTCACTTTCACGGATTCTCAGACAACTGCTACAATTGCCATCACCATCTCGGATGACGAGCGGGTGGAGATTTTGGAGACCTTCAGAGTGAATTTACTTCGTGTGATTGGTGGTGCTCGACTAGGAGACGCTACCTCTGTTAATATCAGCATTCCAGCTAACGACTCGCCTCTCGGACAATTTGGATTTCAGGAACTGGAGGTGATTTAGAATGACTTTACTTTGGAACACCCATAGATTTGGGGCGTTAAACAAACTTACCTCACATACATACTTGACATCCTCTCAAATCCCTCATCACAGTATTCTCAACTAATCTAAAACAACCTTTTCAATTGTATTCTTTTTTTTTTTGGGAGGGGGCGGGGGGGGGGGGGTTAGAAATAATAATCATACTTAATCTCATTTTAGGTTACTGTCAGCGAGCCACAGTTTGTGGATGATCCCGCTGCTTTGGCCACACTATCAGTACTGCGCAGTCCAGGAGGAAAAGGGACAGTGACTTTGGGGTGGCAGCTGCAAGACAAAGCTAGAGATGACCTTTCACCTTTCAATGGAACTCTTGTCTTCAATGAGGTACAGTTTAAAAGTATTGGATAGTCCACATATTGTAATGATGACATGTGATAATACTTCGTCTTTTTTCTTTACCTGCTGTCTAGTACGTTGCTTCATAAAGTCTAGTATACTTTTCCTACCTCCCAGGCACAATCTATGAAGTCGTTCATGATTAGAGCCCTCGCTGACACAATACTGGAAGGTACTGAGTATTTCAGAGTACAGCTGTTTCCTGCTGAGAGTGGCGCTATCATTGACCCCTTAAAAGGTCAGTGTTTAAGATGTGACCCAACCTCCTCCTGCCTGTGCATACATTGAAGAGAATTTTGTCTTTTAGAGTTGTCTTACATCAATGAAATAATCATATCCATGTTCTTCATCCATTTTCCCAACCATGATCTCTGTCTTCTGCTCTAGGCACGGCCACCATAACTATCAGGGCAGACAAAGCTGCCCTGGGGATTATTGGAATAGAAGAGTCCTCTGGGACTATCCTCATTGGGGAGCCTCAGGGAGATTACAATGGTAGTGCGGTGGTTAGGTGAGATAAACATCAAACTGTATAACTAACCTGGGAAAATGATCCAGCTATTGCTTTATTGCCTATGCTTATTAATCACTAATCTGAAAATCTTTTTAAATATGTGTGTGTGTGTATCCCACAGACTGGTGCGAGGGCCAGGTGTGTTTGGAGAAGTCCAGGTGTACTGGAATATCACTCCGGCTGTGGTCTCTGAGTTTGAAGTGATCTCTGGCACAGTCACTATGAAGGACGGACAGTCATTTGCCACAATTATTCTGAAGGTACTGAATAATATAAATAGCAGACTTCACAGAAAAATCCAGATGTTTTCTGCATCAAATCACTGCATAATATGCACATGCAGACCTAAATGTATTGTAATAATACCTTTTTACTTTCCTTCCAAAATGTCTCTGTCGTATCCATCATGATGGCAGGCTCTGGATGACGATCTCCCCGAAGAGCGTCGTGAGTACCAGCTTACTCTGACCTCCGCCACTGCTGGTATGGAAATCAGTTCTACAGCCAAGCATGCCAAGATTATCATGGCAGCCAGCGACAACCCCTATGGCCTGTTCTCCTTCACCCAACAGCAGATCAGGGTGTCTGAGGAGGAGGGAATGGTGAGGTCTTTAATATGAGACTGATACATATATAGATCTACTATATAGTGGAGTATAGTCATCAACAAATAGGCTTGGTGTATTCAAACCTAATCCAAGGCCATATGATTTTTTCTCATTCACTGTAGGTGAATGTGACAATCAATCGCTCCTTAGGGAGTCTGGGAAGTGTGTGGGTGACCTTTCACACCTCAGGTAACACAGCGGTCAGTGGCGTGGACTTTGCTCCATCTTCAGGACGATTACTCTTTCCTCCAGGCCAGACCTCACAACAAGTCACACTACATGTCCTGGATGACAGTCTTGCGGAGGATACTGAGATGTTCTTCCTCAATATTACTGAAGTGGAGCTAGTCAATGTCAGGTAAAGTTATTTGATACATTGGACTAGATAAGCACCATTTTTAATTAGCTTTAAGAGGTCACAGTCATTCATAGAATTTGCATTGCAAAAGCCTTCATTTAATGTTGATTTGACTGTCAAAAAGTTGATGACAGTGATTCTTAATTCTATGTCGCCCTCTGGTGGTCAGTGCTGTTAGTTCGGGTCTCGAGCTGGACCAGCCTCCAGCCATAGGCAACATCTCTTCTGTTGCCGTGGTCATATTAAAGAATGACAACGCTGAGGGAATCCTGGAGTTCAGGCAGGACTATGTCAACATTACAGGTAGGTAAACAAAAAATATAAAATCTTGCTTTTGAGATATAACATTCTAAAGCTAGGCAAACCAGTAAAGAGAACTGTTATACAATATTTAATGGATGATTAACTACATCTGAAATCCATGTTTTCTTCTGGCACTTTCTTACAGTTGCGGAGGATGTGGGCACTCTGTTGATCCCGGTGGTGAGGAGAGCAGGTTCATACGGAATAGTCTCAGCTCAATTCACATCCAGAGGCCTGAGTGCAACCCCCGACTTCGACTACATACTGAATAATGGCTCAGCAAAGTTTCTCTATGGACAGAATACAAGCTACATAAATCTCACTATTATAGATGACCTGGACAGGTGAAGGGAGAACTAAATTGAATGCATTCATAGCTCAATTCTTGGTCATAGTTGAATTCCATGTTAACACTGAAATAATCTCCCCCAGTGAATATGAAGAGGTATTTGAGGTCCGGCTGGTTGGAGCAACAGGGGGAGCAGTTCTGGGCTCTCAACAAGTTGCAAGGGTGACCATTGCCAAGAGTGACTCTCCGAATGGGGTGATCCGTTTCCTCAACCAGAGCCTAATCACTCTGGCCAATCCAAACTCCACTCTCAAAGTTCTTCTTCTTCTGGAGAGAGCAGGAGGCCTAGTGGGCAATGCAACGGTATGAGGAACAATATTTTCTAGTTTTCTTAGCAATGATTACTCAACTCACATTTGTATTGTTAATGATTAGTTAACTCACATAAGTTATTTCTGCGTGGACATAGTTTGATTCAAACTGGTATTACTTTTTGACAGGTTGCTTGGAAAATCCTCGGGCCTAATAGCAGAGAGGTTCTTTCTCCATTGAATAAAGACATAAGAGAGCCTGTGAACGGGTCCTTCTTCTTCAGGGATGGAGATGAAGGGACACAAGTCATGGAGCTGCGCATTCTCCCCCATGGGGAAGTGGAGGTGGAAGAGACATTTGTTGTAGAGCTCAGCATTCTGTCTGGGGAGGTGGATGTTGACTCTCAGGCTGGTTCCATAACACTGAAGGTAATTTATTGTATAACTCCTTAAGGTTTATCATAAATCAATTGAGATTGTGTAAAAGATCAATTCCATTTGATTTCCAATTTGATCTATTGCAGAAAGGAATAGAACAGGAGGTACGCATTCGCACCCTACTTACCTGTGTTGTCTTCTAATGTCTTTGTCTCCCAGATAGAGAAGTTTGGTGACCCAAATGGTATAGTCCAGTTTACCGATGATGCTCTTCAAGAGCGTGTCTACAATGAATCCACAGAAGCAGAAGGCCCCTTTAACATTTCCTTGTACGTTACACGCAGGGAGGGTGTAATGGGTAACATCACGGTAAGATTTAATTTATATACATTGAATTAATTTGTCACATTGTTCCCATTCAATCATCACTTACGACATCGAAGTGTGTGGCGAGGTCGGTATTAGCAAAGTCTCTGCCCAAGCAGATAAAGCTCGTTGCAAAACTAGAGTGAACGTGGGGTTTGCTTCCACCAGTTGGTGAGCACATAACAAGTGACCACCATAAGATGCACTTCTGGTGTTTGGCTGAGTGTCATCCTTCTTTACGAACCGGACAGACTTTACTTACTAATTTTGCCTGTACTGACTGAATTTAATTATTTATTGCCACTAAGTTTAAACACACCCCTACTTTTTCTTACACCTCAGGTGCGTTGGCGGATACAGAGTGACTCGGATATAGTTGGTGACTTTCTAGCCTTAGGTGGCTCAGTGATGATCCTGGAAGGTCAAAGGGATGCAGAAATTGTCCTCAGCCTGATGCCTGATACAGTACCAGAGTTAGAGGAGTTCTACACGGTCCAGCTCACAGCTGTGGAGGGGGGTGCAACTCTGGATGCCAACCAAAACCAGATCCGGACGCTTATCAGGTTTGTCATATTGACATCTAGGTCGCAACGTCTGAAATTGAATTGAGTTTGAATTGATTTTTCTTTCTCACACTTAGGGTCCGTGCTAACGATGAGCCTTACGGTGTCTTTTCCCTGAACCCCAAACAACAATCGATTATGATTGTGGAGTCAGAGTCTCAGATCACCAGAGTTCTGGTGATGAACGTGACACGGCTTGCCGGGCTGTTTGGCGATACTATCGTGAGCTATCGGATCAGTGGAGGGATAGATGAAGTGATGGACATCAGGGAAATACTGAGAGGACAAGATGAAGGAACACTGACCTTTAGGGAGGGCCAGACCTTTAGTACTATTAGTGTGCCTATCAACAGTCAGGTAAGGATTAGCATGCTTTTGCAGAGACAAACAAACTCTTTTAAAATAAAATACACTTCTGTGCAACACTTGTTTTTTAACACTTTTTTCCTGCCTTTTCCCTCTGTAGGTGTTTTTGTCAGTGGGTGAGAGCTTCACAGCAGAGCTGACCAATGTTAGACTAGTCGGTCCGATCCATGGCTCTCTTCCTCGCCTCCTTCAAGGGGCCAACATTGCTACGGTGACTGTGCCTGAAGAAGCTGCCAGCTCAGAGGTGAATCTTGGTTGTTTTTTGTTCATATATCTGAATTGCTGCTGGAAATACATATGTATTTTTCTGCCATCGGGCAACTGAGACCCATTGCATCATTACCCTCTTCAGCCTCTTGCTCACTTTAATGTAATTCAAACGCATATAACAGATAATCTCTCAACACAAACGGGTTCCTCGTCTTGTTTTAGTGCTTCAAACAGCATTTTGCCTACAGACTGATTTTGTCATTTTACTGCTAAACCGTACACTAATATATGTTACTGGAATACATTTGAAGCAAGAAGACAGTAACAAATTATTTAATTATATTTGATCTGCTATCAGTTATTGTTATTAAAGTGTAATGGTAAAGAAGGCCTCAAGATAGGGGCATTATTAACATGTTCTCTGACATATATGTTGTGCAGGTTGGCTTTGCCTCGCTGGTTTTGCATGTTTCCAGTATTGAAACAGGGGCATGTGAAGCAAAGGTGACACGAAGAGGGTTGTTTGGAGAAGTCAGGGTACAGTGGAAAGCTGGATATCCATCAGGACAGGCTCCGCTGGGGCTCAGTCCAGGAGCCATTTCCCCAAGTTCAGGTAAAACAACTATGGTCTTTGGAAAACTGAATAATAATAATGTAAACTCACTCATTGTATAAAAACATTTGCATTCTTTATTTAAGATGATTTCTTTTTAATAATCATTTATAGCTTTTAATTATACCTGGATGGCACCAATCTGAGCATTGATTGAATCGTAAAAGTACATCTGCAGACCAAACACTTACAATGGTGATCGGGCTGATATCAAACACTAGCATTGACTAACAACAGTCTGCATTCTTAATGTTGGTATCGTGCTACTTTCCTCATATTCAGGCTCACTGACCCTGGTCCATGGAGAGAAGACTAAAGCCATATCTCTGACCGCTGTTGCTGATGCATTTGAGCCGGCTTCCTATGCTATACACCTCACTGCTGCGACGTCAAGCTCTTCTGCAGCGAGTGCTGTCAAGCTAAGGTAATGGATTCTGAAGTAGTAGGAGTCAATCAAATTTTACTCTTAAACCTTCTGCATTATGCAGCATGTTTATATTAGTTGGAGAATATGGAATATAGGAGAATAGCTTTTATATATGTCACATCTTTTTTATTTCTACAGAAAATATATTTGTTAATGTCAAATGCAGACCGTGACTCCCTGTGTCTGCCTGTTACAGGGCCGGATTTACTGTGACAGAAGTGGAGCCATTGGGAATCTACCAGTTTACCCCGGATTCCCGCCAGTTGGTCATTGCAGAGGACATTCAGACGATCACACTTTATGTTCAGAGACTCTATGGTTCTCGTAGCAACAGCACCCGCCTGTCTTATACAACGTTAGCAGGCACAGCCGCAGCAGGAGAGGACTTTATTGCAGTGCCAGATGGCAGTTTGGTCTTTAACTCACCTCTACAAACCAACACTTCCTTCCGCCTTTCAATACTCGACGACTCCCTTTCAGAGGCAGATGAGAACTTTCACGTCAACCTTACAGATGTTCAAGTCCTTACTCCAGACGTAGCTTGGGCAGATGCCTCTCCTCGCCTCAACCTCCAGCACAGTGTGGCCACTGTCACCATCCAAGCAAGTGATGTGACCGGAGGAGTGCTGAGTATCGGACCTGGATTGGTAAAAATACCCGAAGACAGGGCTGAGGAGACCCAACAAGAGCAAAGAGTAGTCCTAAGGGTTCGTCGGTCCGAGAGTGTGGCGGGGGCTGTAACGGTTCGTGTTCAAGCATATGGAGGTGCGTGTTTGTTCTTGTAGTATGCTCCATTGTACTATATGATGTTGTTTACTGTGACATTCACTGTTTCGCTTTTATTTGTGTTGCTGTGCAGATGGAAGTGCAACACCTATTCCCTTCACCCTAGACCCTGTTGAGACCCTTGCAAAGGAGGAACAAGACTTCCGCCTAGAGTCAACCGTTGTGTCCTTTCAGGCTGGTCAGAACGAGACAGAGATTGTACTCTTCATCGTGGATGATCGAGAGCCAGAGGGACAGGAAGTATTCTTCATTTATCTCAGTGATCCAGAGGGAGGAGCTCAAATAACAGACAGTCCTTACCAGGGCTTTGGAGCCTTTGCCAAGATCACCATCCTCGGTAAAATATTTTGTTAAAAGATTGTTTTTTCTTTGAGTTAGGTGTAAATTGAAGATAGATCAAATAAATTAATATTAATAGCTGTTTTGTTCACAGCGTGTTCTAGCAAATAGAAATTACGTGACATATTGTGGTCTCTAACTTATTCTGTTCTCATTAATCAAATGGACCCATAGAGATGTTTGTTTAATGAGTGATTCAATATTCTTCTCTGGTTTCTCTGGTGGTAGCTCACTGCCAAATTAGTCTCCAGCTTCGATTTTGTTCCTCACTTCTCACATAATCCCTGCAGTGGGAAGAACATTCGATGGTTTTGCATGAATACTTAAAATGAATTTGTACTCTTTCTCTTTGTTTCTGTTTTGTTCTGTTTGTTCTTACCTCTATCCTCACCAGGGAGTGACTTCCATAATGGCATCATAGGGTTTACTCTTAATTCTCAGTTGGGACAAGTTCTGGATGAGGATTCAAAGAACAGAACTGCCATCCTCTTCCTTCAGAGACAAGAAAACAGGTAATATAAAACCAAATACTTTTTAAAACCTTTTTGGTCAAAAGTTGAGATCTGTTTTATAGTAAGTTATGCTTTTTTTCCCCATTGCAGAGCGTTTGAGGATTTGCAAGTCTTCTGGAGAGTTACCTTAAGCAAGGCAGTTCTAACTCTTGTCAACAATGAAGTCAACCTAACCAGACAACTTCTGCAGACCTCAGGAACTGCTCTGTGTAGGAGACGAGAGATCCTCTGTGCTCTCGCTGTAGAGGTCCAGGATGATGAGGTGAGAGTGATGCAGAGACCATTGTCAAGGGGGTGCTAGTTTGAAGATTTTTAAAACCTCATGCCATCAGTATAGGGACAAATTAAAAATTTGACGGGATAAAGATTTACTTATTTTTCATAAGAAATGTCGTGGTAGACAAAACACAACAGTCTCTATTCTTTGTTGCTGTAGGAAACCAGAGCAGCAGGCGTGGTTCTTGGTAGAGATTTATCAGGGTGGGTGCTGGAGCTGCCATCAATGAGACAACCCGTTTTGGCCAACATCACGTTGGCGAGAGCGACGATCCACAAGGCATTATGTACTTTGCTGCTGGTCACAGACTACCCGTGGCCACCTTGACAACCATGAGGCTTAGTCTCCAAGTCTACAGACGAGCGAGCACAGCTTCAGTCATATCGGTACAATACCGCACACTGGTAAGTAAGAAACAGCTGTTGTAATAAGCATACAAGTATACATTATGAATGACACTAATGAGTCCTTATTGATACAATTGGCCATACATATGCATAGTATAATACACACACATAAGTAAAAATAGTGTTTACAATAGTAAAATCGCACATTATGCTCTCACAGCATGCTCAACACTGTTTATCAAATGAGAATTGTGTCTTTAATCCGCCAGAATAATCTGACATATAGTGTGGGTTTTTTATGCCAGTACATTATATATGGTGAGAATGCCGTGAGAATGTTTGTCAGGCAGTCTGCTTAGCATAACTCCATCTGACACAAAACCCTCTGTTTTTTCCTCTAGGAGCTCCCCAGAGAGGACGCAGTGGGTCCCTCTACCATCTGGCCTGCCAAAGCAGGGATGGATTTTCCCAAACAGGAAGGGAGGCTAACCTTCAACGTTGGCCAGCGTAACACATCATTGGACATTTACCTCACACCCGACCTCGCCTCAACATTACCCACACCCAAGCGCTTTCAAGTGGAACTCTACAATGCTACAGGGGGCACCAGAGTGCACTCCCTGTTTGGGGTGGCTAATGTGACTCTGGTTTCCAATGCAGCAAGTGAAGCCGTGTGGCTCATACTGGATCAATTATATCAGCCTCTTGACTCAACTATTTTGAACCAGGTGCTGCAGGGACTGATCAATAAAGTCTCTACAGCTGTAAATCATGAGCAGATGGTTGCTGTGCTGGAAGCAATGGGGAAGGTAAGACTGAAGACAAAATGATTTCACTTCAACCAAACCCTAAACATTATTTCTGTTGAAGGTGGAGCAAATTGAAATGAGACACTTTCAATAATATTTGATTATTAAGTATTATTACTTATGACAAGTTATGTTATCCATCAGATCATCACATTGTCAGAAGTCAGTAATAAAAGAAACACTTGCTTCTGCATTATTAGTTTTTTCATCAATTATAACTGGTGAGTCAGTGTAGTTTTCTGCGTCAGACAGCTCTACGTTTAAGGACATTAATCACTGCCTGCTACAGGTCTGAGGACCAGGTTGTTATCTGAAAAGGTCTCAGTTGTCACTCTAGAAAGAGCAAAGACATCATAAATGTGTTTCGCAGCATGAGGATACGTGGGAGCCCAAAGAGAAAGTAAGAGAAAGCAAGGAGACAGTTCTAGGGAAAGTGGCACCACTTCACTATTAAAGCTGCACTATATTAAGTTGACTACAGCAGTGAAAGTGACAGTGGCAGAGCCAGGAGGGGTGTAAAGGATAAATACAGTGATCAAGTGAGGATCACACACACTGGTCATAAAGAGAGATATACATTCAATAGCAGAGAAAACCGTTCCGCAATTCAATGTTGCTAAATCTGTCTATCCATCTCTCTCTCTCTCTTTCTGTATCTCTGTTTTCTCTGAGTCAGGTGATTGCAGAGGCAGAGAGGGCTCCTATAGAGGAAAGTAGCCGCAATTTGACTTACAACCTGCTGTGTTCCTTGGCCAATCCCAGCAGATCTGACACCAGAGGCCTCACCTACCTAGCTGAGGTGGCCGAGCGATTCGCATTCTCCCTCCTTGCGCAGATTCAGTGTGAGATGTGAGTTTTGCAGTGCAAAAAAAGTGGGGAGTATGAGGGCGAAATTCCTCATTTAAGATGTTCATGTTGTGAATTCAACATAGCATGCCCGTTACATCTAAATGCCAAGATGTTTCCTTAAATAGTATTTTAAATGCTTTTCTTTGTGTGATTTCTTTCAGGAGGGGCACCATCCTGGAAACATGTCCATATATGTCCATCTCTGCCTTCCAGTGGTATCCCACGCAGATCAATGCACACAAATTCAGGGGCCGGAATGCAGACTTCTTCCAGCTGCCAGATACTCTACTGGCGGTGCCAGCAGTCTCCACTCCTAACTGTGGAAACCTCAGCCAGATTCAGCTGACTGAGTTTAGAACGGAACACTGGTTTCTTACCAATGATACAAACACTGCCCTTAATGGGAAGGTAGGGGAGCACAAATATATTTCAATTCATTTTTGTCTCAGCAGGTGGCAGTGTTACTCCAGTATGAACTCGCCGTCATTGTTTCGCTCTACAGCTGAACCCTCTTCTTCCCCTTTGTTTGTATCTAGGTATTCTCAGCCAGCCTCCAGGACAGAAGGTCACGACCTCTACATGATGACAATGAGGTGGTGTATCGGATACATTCCCCTGGTCAGCAAGTAAAACCGGGCCGGTCTCGGTGCCTTCTGTGGAACCAGACCACTGCAAGGTAATCCCTAGTACCCTCGTACAGATACATGTTCAGCTATTCCACCGGTTTAAGTGAAGGGCAAAAGTCCAAATACAGCCCCTCAGTAAGGCCTTTGTGTGGCCATTGGGGAAGTCACATCATTGTGTTTAATATCTGCACATTCGGTCTGCCATACGCAGAGTACTCCCACCCATTAGTCGGTTTGTTAAGGACATTCCTGGGGCGGTGGAATGGGACTTGGCAGGAACACTGTGTTACAAGTTCTGAATTGACAGGTTCGGTTGGGAACAGCAACTTGGACGATGCATTGCTAAAAAACAGATGAACAAACTGATGAACACATCAATGGTGGAGAGAGCAAAGTCACAGGGAAAGGTCGATGTTGCCGTATGACGTTCTTGCTTTGAATGGAAGGTCAACGTGAAGAATTGCCTGTCTGTCAAATCCACCACAAACGTGATTATAATGTTCTGGTTTGTCCTACAGCATCTTTAAAGTTACCACAGATAAAAACTACTGAAGCTAAAACGCCAGAGAGAGAATTGGACATACTCATTAACATAATACTTCAGGTCAGACCCGTGCACAGATAGAGCCCTAGTGGTGCTCAAGCACGTGCCCTTTCGCCCTGGAGAAAAGTGCCCCTTCTGCTGGAGCCCATTGTTTTCTTCAGTCATCGATATTTAAAATAAAAATGACTCTCTCTGTCATCAATTCCTCCCAAGTTTGTTTTGATATCTGATTTATTTGAGTCCTTGTGAGAATTTCGCCCCGAACTTCTCTGCGGCGCTCATAAGCCCCGCTGCGCCCCTCCTCCTCCTCCTTCTCTTCCTTCTCCTCCGCTTAGAGCTCATCCAGTGCTGAGCGCCAAACGGCTGCTGCATCAGACATGCAAGTAATGACGGTGTTTGTGCAAATCCCTTCAACGTTGTTTGGTGATAAATTAACCACAACATTAGCGCCGCTGAAAACATTATATAAGTAGAAAATATTAGTATTATTATTTTTAATTTCATGAATAATTTGGGCGAGTCCCTGCTTCAGGTTCCTCGCCTTGTTGTCTTGCACCCCAGTGTTTTGTTACATTCAGTTCACCTGTAGTATCTTCTTTCTTTTTCTGCATTGGCTCCTCTATTCTCTAGCTGGTCATCAGATGGTCAATACTGCAGAGTGCTGAAAGAGAGTGGGAACTATGTGGAATGCGCCTGTTCCCACTTGTCCATCTACACGGCCTACGCAGAGTTCGTTACTCCGGCGTCCTACAACAACGCCTTCTATGCCTCCGGATTTATCAGCGTCTCGGGTACAAAATACCTTGTTTCATGTCTTTTATTTTTATTTTCCTATCCCTGTTTTTTGTGCCCTTGGCCAGTTTGCCCGTGAGGCTTTGTCTCCGCTGCATGTTGTCCATATTCCTCCCACATTGGTATAAATAGACCTTGTTGATAAATTAGTCATTTTTTGATTTAATACTAATGTTGGTGTCATGTGTTCCACTTCTCCCTCTTCAGGTTTTGCATTGGCCATTATATCCCACGTGCTATGCTCCCGTTTCCCCATGTTTTCTGCCAAACTGCTCACGCACATGATGGTGAGCTGCCTTGGAACCCAGGTAATACAGTTCTGCTGGTGTATTTTAGTCCTTTACTAGAAAGACACCTGAGAAATTCATACTCCCTGAACATCTTCTGTTGTTATATTGGCACTGGCATTTAATCTAATCTGCAGATTATCGATATGGCCTTAAATGTAGATGGATAGGGAATCTTTAGAAATAGTGATAGAGGCATTGATCTCTCAGCACTATATGGATCAATAACTTCCACACATTCAGATGGCTTTAATGTGTGTTGTCCAACACACACCGTCACTTTCATAATGACAAAAGCATAAAACTATACATGAACTGCTTTACATAAGAATATTTTAAACCTTCACTGAGTGCACGCGCACACATAAATGCACACACACACACACACACCGCTTGCTGCCAACCCCTTTTGCTAGCCACTAGACATGTCTCAGGTATTTTCTTGGAAATGTGCATAGACGTGAACACAACACACTCAGCGAATGTTACTGATTGCGTAGTTTGCGGGCCAGCGCGTCCTGACAACGCAACCATGCCCCCCGCACCCTCGCCCATTAAAAACGCAGGCTGTCACATAAGCAATGAGCGAGATAGATATGTGGCTGCAGGTTAGTCTCTCAGCGGGTCCTGGCCACGTATGTGTGTGTATGTTCGTGTGTGCGTGAGCGAGTGCGGGACTGGTAATTTTCCACTGGTCCCCCCTCTCTTTGGTTGACAAACACGAGCCCCTACTAAAGCAGACTGTTGTTGGGGGCTAACCACCGTGGGCTCAACCTGTTTATGGCCCAGGCAGAGCCCCTAAACCTAAAAGGATTTTGGATGGAAAATTCCGTCCTGTTCGGTTGGTACTGTACTGCATGTTACGGCACTTCTTCCTTGCAAGCGCACGTGTCTGAGATTGTGCTATAGTTTATCAAATACATTGGTTGTGTTCCTGAGGTCTTCTGGTCACGGCCAGGTATAGAAACCTGCGTGCACAAAGTGTGAAGCTGACTTAATTCTAAGTTGTCCTTAGGACTCAATGTTGTGCTTTGTCCTTAATGCAAATGACCGTCCTTGCATAATAAGAGAGGCTACCATAATATTAAAGAAACAGTTAACACGAACAGCACTTGTTAAAAGCATCACCGAGATGAATTATCATTTTTGAATGTGTTTTTTATTTGGAGTTTAAATTCTCCATTTTAGATTGAGTCTTGTAAATGTGTATCTGCCTCGGAGGATTATTCCATCATTCCAGAGAACCAAATCACCATTATGGTCTACATTCCAATATCTATAAGGATTTTACGTGGAACCAGAATCTCAGTGAAACAAAGTCTATAACTGTGCATGGTCGGTCAAGTGATGTCATCAGTAGTTTAAATCCAGGTCCTTTTAATTGAACATATGCATCTTTAGTCCTTTTAAGTTTTGGATACATCTCAAATGTGTATTTACAGACATTCTTGTCATATTTTTCATAGAAGGTATATAATTAGTTACAGAAATGTCTCTTGAACTTGTAAGTATCAGCCATGCTCGTGCTTCACTATTGATTTGACTGTCACATCCAGTTCCAACCACCTCTGACTGAGAGGGCAGTAATTAGTCACTGACTTTTCCCTCCGTGGGGAGAAAATTAAAACTGCCTGCTTGATTCATCTACAGTCGGCTAGAAATAACCATAGTAATACCCATTCAGTGTGTGAGCGATAACGCACATCAAATGAGTGGGGAAGATGAAGAGATGTGGTTCAATTTATGTACCTTCATTTCTTTAGTTTCTAGTTCGACAATTGTAGTATTCTCAAGTGTCAAACCGTATTGAAAGGAATCATTTTAAGCAAGAGTGGAGGTTCAGCTTCAAAATATTACTCCTTGTGTAGTTTTAGGAGGATCGCTACAGATAGATTTCTTCATATATAGATTTGAGTTATTAAAGGTGTCAAAGGGTCAAACTGGACTTGTTTTAGAATCAAGGCACCCACAGGGGGACAGAGAGCGGCCCTACACAATGACATTGATGTCAACCTCCCGGTGAGAGACACTAATGATTTGGTTCCATCCATCAACTCAAAGGAGAGTCCTCTCACTTTTGTGTGTGTGTGTGTGTGTGTGTGTGTGTGTGTGTTTGTGTATGCACGTGCGTGTCATTGTCCCATCAGAGGTTGTGCATTGACAGTCTATGGCTCTGACCAGCAGTTCCCCCCTCAGCAAGACAACTGAAGATTGTCTGTGTGGAGTGGAAATTTACCCAGTGTATATGCATGGAGGTGAGCCTTGCTTGGTTCAATCCGTGTGTTTGTTAATGTGCATAGGATTTGTATTATGTAAATAGTCCATACATTTGCAAATGTAGCTGCAGCTTTTTGTAGGAAATTCCTTATTTCTAACCACATAATCGCCATTGAACAAATACATCGAAATTGAGAATTGTGACAATGGAAATTTGTGGTAATTCATCAATCTTTGAAACTGAAGTTTATTTTAAACAGAGCAAAAACATACAGAATCAGATTTTTGTGTCGTGGACTGTAGTTAACTGGCCCTAAATGCAAAACAACCATATTGTAAACTTATATATCATTGCGCATGAAGTTTTGTTGTAACTCCAGGCGACGGCTCATAGCTGCATTTGTTTTACCAAAGCATAATAAACACCAATAGAGATAGCAATGTTGCAGACCTTTAAAACAGGTTTCTTCTCTTTTAACCAGCATCTCCTGTTCTGCTACAAGGGCACTTTATCATCACATGTTTAAAATAGTCTTTTGCATCCTAATAGTTCATTTAAAACCGTATTAACTTCTTTGCTTCCAGCCATAATTGACGGGTAAGACCCTGCCAAGCATTTTGCATATGTACTTACTTAAGAGTCATCAGTCTATTTCAAAGAATGAACATAACATCGTGCTCTCCTGCGGTCTTTTTGTGGAAAATGTAAGTTTTTCTGATCGCTCATCCACGTTCCATTCCTCTCTGCTGGCCCCAAATCCCCACAAATGATTTGTTACTGACCGTTAAATTCACTTCCTCTTTCTTGTTTCTGTCAAACCTTTACTGCATCAAACATTATTTTGTACCAATTTGTAGGGTACAAAAGGAGATTGTCAGATATCATAATGGTTTCCTGTTAAATGGAAATCTTAATCTAGTCAAACAATATGAGAAGGCAGAGCGTTAATAAAAGATGGATGGATGGTGGCGTGCTGCTATTTTAGAGATAAAGTGAAGTTAGATCCCTCCCTCTTGTGTGTGTTTGTTTATTTAACCAACCAAACCAATATTTCATATAAAATACTTCACACTACCCTAACTGTGAATTGGATTTGAAGTGGAGAAGTGGGAGTCTTTGATCACAAATATCCAGGGAGAAGAATACGTAATCTATATGTCTGTTGCAAGTAATACACTATTTCATTTCTCATCCGTTGTAATGTAATCAGCTCTCCACATCCCCAACAGCCATTCTCCCACACTAAGTGTTTACCCTCGCTGTCCCAGTGCTCTACTCCAGCATCTAGTAGATGTTTATGTTACTCTTTGCGCTTCTAGTCATAAAGGATTTCCTGTTAGCTTTGGGCCTGGATCCAGTATTCAGAAATCTGTGACACACACGCATGTATAAACACCAACTTCTACCCCCCCTTATACACTACCCACCACCCCGCCTTTCAGTCTTTGAACAGAATAATGAAACCGTTCCAATCATAATCCAAGACCTTGGTTGGAAAACGTAAGAGCGACACAAGTCTCTGTAAATGAAGTGGGCGACTGCTTTTCCTGAGGAAGTTTAGCTGATCCCATCGAGACTAATCAATCATCATACGAACAAACATTGTTTGTGCGTCCGTGTGTGTGTGTGTCTACTTAACTCTCTGCTTGACGTCAGAGAGTAATCCTATCTTTCTGTGTTCTTTGCTTATTCCCACAAGGGTTTGGAGCAAAAATGAGAAAGCAAGAGAAGCGAAACAATGACAAATGAAGAAAAGTATTTGCTTGTTCCTCCTCTTGTCAATTGTCAGACAGTACTGTAGATTATTTCACTGTGTGTTGTTCAGTTTGAGATGTATTTCATTCTTTCTTACAGTTGTTAAAGAATAAACAGAGAGATAAAGTATACGCCATGTCCTTGATAGGATTTTAATGCAGTTTGAAGGTCTGTCTGTCAGCCCGAGGTAATTTCAGTGAAGTGAAGGAAAGGTATAAAGTATCAGCAGACTGTGTGTGTGTGTGTGTGTGTGTGTGTGCGTGCGCGTGCGTGCGTGCGTGCGTGCGTGATTGGACAGTGGTGAGGTTGAGACTGCCTCTTGGGAGACTCAAATTACAGTCCAACACTTTGCGCCTGTCCTGACCTCTATCCTCTTTATCTCATCCGTCTGTTCAAGTCAGTGGCATCTTTCTTTTCTTCCAACATTCACTGTTCTAGTCTCTCTTGACAAATACTGAAAATTCAGGCTAAACCGAATAGCCAATTTTTAATATAATAATTTACTTTAGAATCTCCTTCTTTCTGTTTTACTTCCATCTGTATTTTTGCACCTTTTGGCATCTTCCCTCTCCTTTTACCTAACCTTTATTTCATAAATTGTTGACCCGTTTTCTGTCCTCTGTCTCCTTTATCCTTCTGTCTCCTTAGCTGCATGCTGTGACATTACAAGCTGTAAAAAGACTCTCACTCTGGATCTCCCGCCCTCTCTCTATTTGTGAAAGTTGCTAGGCACATCTTGCGTGACTCATCAGTTTGACCAAGGACATTTTAACATGTTGTTTGTCCCTAAAAAGGTTACAAACACCCGACTTAACACTCTAATACACTCAACAGACACCTAGAATAGGACTTGGCAAAGAGTGAATTGACATGCTAAAACCGGCTATTTAATTTGGATTAATGGTATTGATGTTCTAACGATACCATTATGCAGACTTTGCCCTTCCTGGACTCTGGAAGTTACTCTCACTTTTTGTCACATGTGTGTTGTCCTATCAGCTGGTGACCTTCCAGGAACTTTCCTCTGTTTCCATAAAAAGAACAGCAA